CCCGTGAGAGCAGTCAAGCCTCTCATTGCTGCAGTCCCAGCATGACAGGTGCGTTAGGTAGGAAGAGACCAACTTTGAAGTTGAACATTGCAGTTTCTTGAAATTTATCCATCAGCCTCTGGCCTAGGACACACCTCACAGAAGAGGTGATGCCTCCCCTAGACCCTGCCTCACAAAGACCCCGCCTCCCTCAACTCCAGGGCGTCACCCCTAAGTCCAAGCGTACAGCAACTCAGGGTTGTTCCTTCTGCACCCTGTTGGCTGGAGGCCTGGCCATTCTCACCCATGGAAGCCCCTTCAGGGCCATCCTCAACACAGGAACATGAAGGCCCCTGGAGCCAGAAGTCAGGGGGAGACCTGGAGCAGCCTTACCCCTGGAGACTCTTTTGTCTCTCCTTTGGGACCCCATGCCCCACTACTCTCAAGAGAAAGGCTGGTCTCACCAGCCCCTGGAGGGGCCCAGGGGTCTTATGGGTGGTTTCTCTGGAGGAAGGGGGCCCAGGACTTGACTCCCTGCTCCTCTCAGAAGGGAGCAGGGCTGAACAGCTTCCTGCATAGCCCTGTAAGCCCCTGCTCCTAGGTTTTCCTCAGGCTCTCTCCCCTCCCTGTTCGCAGGTATTTTCCCCACCAGGACCATATGAGTATGTGCCCCTGTGATCTTTTTCACTGGATGGAAAAGCAGAGCTGCAAGAAGGCAAGGGATATGCCCAAGGCCACACAGCACGAGTGAAAGGAGCCTCACTTGTCAAAGGACCAGAAAGGCAAGTGTCTCCAGATGCTCCAAAACTAATAATCGTGCAAACTTGGCATCCTATGTATTCACTAACTGTCCAGTGAAATGTTTAAGGTCAGAATCGTTACCAGGGCTGTGCTGCTGACCCAGAGGTGGACCGTCCACATCCGTGTTAACTGACACATGGATGGTGGGGAGCACACGTCACCGGGGGCCTGTCTCTGCCACCATGTGCACCTCAACGCCTGGCTCTTCTGCGGTTCACCTGGCCACCAGGAACACACATAACAGCCTGCAGATTAAGACTGGTTCTTACATTTAAAGTGGATATTTTTTAAAAAAGAGATTTTGTGACATGTGGAAGTTACGCGATACTCAAATTTCAGGTGTGTCGTCTGGTTGCTTTCCACAGCTCAGCAGCAGGGCTGAGTAGTTGCCGAAGTGGCCATTCAGTCCTGAACGGAGCAAGTGGGCAAAACGGGGTGTCCTGTCCAGCCTCCTGGACAGGACATTGCAGAGCAGAAGATGTGTTCGTGACCATGTGGAAGGAAGCTGGGACCCATGTGGAAGTAAACAAGCCCCTTACGTAACAAGCATCTGTTCCTAAGAATCCCCCAGTTTTCATATCCTCTCTGGACTGACATGCTCTGGACACAAGCTGGCTCCTCTGTGAGCAACCTCTTAAATGTTGACATGTGCTCAAGGTTAGCTGGTCTGAGAAATGAGATTTTACTCCGTATCCTCAGTGTCCGGAGTCCACGGATGACTCACGTCTCTGAACACCAGACGTGATGAGGAGACAGCCTGTGACTGGAGAATCATCCCCAGCCTCAGCCTCCCTCAGAGTCCCCCTCCCTGGCTCAGATCTGGCCCCCTATCTGAGCCCAGAGACTGGGACCCTCAGCCAGTCTGTACCAGGGACTTTTTATCCCGCCACTCACAGAAGCCTCCAGACTAGAGATTGTTGGAAGGGAGAGGCAAGGAAGGAATGTGTCAAGGGGCCACCGCTGCACGAGGGAGTCCGAGACCAAGAGAGGTGCACCCAAGGAGGCAGAGAACAGCCAAGACACAACAGCCTGGGAGTGGGAGGATGAAAGGAAGCCCGGGGCTCGGAGACCTCCACCCAGATCCACTCCAGAGGCTCTTCAAAAAGGACACACTGAACGGCCACAACAAAGATTTACATGGCACATCACTAACCGGCCGAGCCAGGCCCTGGTGAAGGGGACCTGAAGTCTTGGCCCCTTCCTCCAGAACGGTCTGGGTACTGGCCTACCATGACCCTTTACCTGTTTGGCTCTGCCTTGTCCACAGAGGCTGAGACTTTAGGGGCTACCGGTTATTTCCCGTGGTGGGTGCTCTTCCAGGTGGGCCACTGTGATGTGTCTCCTCTGTTTGGGTGAGGACCCAGCCATCCTGACCCCTTGCCCACAGACGGTGTTCCAGCCAGGGCTGGGACAAACAAGGAGACTCAGGCAGCACTCAGGAGCCTCCACGGCTGCAGACTCGGGGCTCAGGGCTCAGCTAGAGTCATCTCCTAGAGTGCAAAGCAGACACGATACTTCCAGGTGGTGCCTGTCAGGGAGAGAAGACGCCAAGCTCTCCAGCAGCAGGCATCCTTCTGGAACAACACAAGTTCGCTCAGCCCCAGTGAGAACAGGTGACTGCTTGCGGAGGCTATGGTGGGAGCAGCAAGACTTCCTCCAAGGCCCATGCACAAGTCCTTCCATCACCTCATGGGCTTTCTAAAGCCAAGTAACAACTTCACGTCCATGGTGTCCAGCTTGAATCCCCTCCTGTTACCTGTGGGGACTGAGCCCACCCAGCCCAAACAGTAACCTTGTCTCCAGCCTCCTCTCCTCGACCCCAGGAGGGTGGAATGACAGAAGGGCACTCTGGCTCTTCCTCTTCAGGAGAAGGGGGTGTGGGCATCATCCCTCAGGCCCAGCGCAGGCCCAGTTAAGGCAAATCCTTACAACAGGAACAGCCAGCTAGCACATTCGCAGATTACCCCTCTACCTGCATTTGTACGGTCCATAACTTTCCAGATGTCAATTCCATGAATGTATGGACTGGTCCATTTCCATTTCATGAAAGAGATGATAGAAAAATCAAAAGATACACATGGAAACATAAAGCATTTGTTTATTATTGCTATAATCAAGGCAAAATCTCTTAAATCAATTGGCCTTGATAATGGAAATATAATCAGTATCATTATTCCTGCATTTACAGTTTGTTTTCTGCTGTTCAGACCACAGGGTTTCACACATACACCACATACCATCTGACCTTTCTTGCACAAGAAGAATGCACTTGGAGACCACTCCCTAGGTACTGACGGCAGACCAAGCCATTTCCTCACTGTGAACTCATTCCATCCTGTGTTTAAAACAAATGGGAAAGGGGAGGAGGGGCCAGAATGCACCCACCCCCTTTGGAGGATCAACTGAGATGACCCATGTGGTAACTGAGAGAACATAAAAGAAACTGCCCTTTACACTCAAAACAGTGGCACAAACTAGACCGTCACTGGTAATGGTGCTTGTCACCCTGCTGGGGGAGGGGGGAACCCCAGCACAGCCCTCCTCCCATAGCCTGCAGGACTGTCACCACAACCTGAAGTCCTGGGGCAATGTGCGTTAACCACCCAGCCTCCAAACTCACTGAGGAAGGAGTTGGTCTGACAAGCCACGTCACAGGGACCCAGCCTTGTCCTAGAAACACCTGGTCAGTTTTATTTATCTTAGTATACATCTGTACAGGCAATAATAAAAAGGCTACTACACAATTCAGTGAGTTTTATCTAGTTTCATGGGTAATGCATGCAGTTACAAATGAGAGGTAGAAACACTGTATTAAAGACCTAAAAATACAAACATCATATAAATAAATGTTCAAATTAACTGCTGGGATTTTATACAGATAAATAAGGTAAAAATTACATTACTTCGTCAAAGTAAAGGAAAACCTTTTTGTTTTTATCAGTACACTAAATTAGATTAATGCCAAAGAGCTTCTGTGCAATTTGTCCAAGTTCAGATGACATCATCTAAAGGATTAAAACTGGAGAATGGTTTGTTCAAGTATCCAACCACGTAAGTCAAAGAAACCAAATCATCGACCACGTGGGCACCGTTTCTGGAGGGACGATAAGGGCCCACATTCTCCGTGACTAGCTCCCTGGTGGACTGCCAGGATTAACAGGAAAATGCACGCAGGCTGGAGAGAGCCGCCCCTTATCCTAAGAGAAAACAAACCTCATTTTTCACTGACTTCATGTAAAACTCCACATCACTAAAAAGCCTAGAGGTCACCAGCTCTGTTTTGGCCCTACCGCAATTCTTGAGTGTATCTCTGGCCTGCCACTTGTTCTAATGCTGCCCGAATAAACCTAGCGGTCACAGGCATGAATGCACATTATGCATGCACAGTAAAAAATGCAAACTAAAGCAGACAACCAGCAACTTAAAAAAATCAGCGAGAGAAAACCTATAGGCGTAGATGAATAGGTTAAGAAAATGCAGAGGCTCATAAAACACAAGTCTTTACCACTGAAAAGTCCACAAGAGATTACATGTGAATTCTGGAAAGGGTACGCATATATAATCAAGTAAAATACTTTAAATAAGTCCATTGTGCCTCAGTTAGCTTTAAATTGCAAAATCCAATACAGTTGTTTTAATAAATTAGTGCAATATGAAAGATTTTGGAAGATTATTAATATATGTCCACATTAGCTCAAATTGAAGATTTCACAATATCTTCCAAGAGTCATCTTTCACTCCTTCTTAAGTTATTTCTTCCTGAGCTGTTTATGGCTGCGTGCTCAGACTCAAACTCACCCCGAGAACTGAACTGCCGGAGGAGATGGGGCTTTTTATTTCCACTCCTTGGTGAATACAAGGAGTCCCACACTGTGCTCTGGTGGCTAGTACAAAGAGCCACTCATCACTTAATGCTAACTCTCCTTAACAGTAACCATACTGGTGACTCTAGTTCTAAGGTACATTTATTTACCAAAATCAAACCGAAAGCCCAGTGGAACACTTTTGAATCTGCTTCTATAAAGAGAAAGGGAAGGGGTGACTTCTCTGATAAGGAAGACCTCCTACAATATGTAGTTCTGGGATTGGTTTTCCTTTGTGAAACCACTGCTTGCTCTTTGGTAGTCACCATGTAAGAGTGGACCGACAGGACCCAAGCTGTGCTCCCAATGGCATCACCTGACACCCACCGCTGGTCCCGGGGGCAGGCCTGCTGCTGCTCACAAGGCTGAGGTGCTATAGCAGAGTGCTGACAATCTTCTTTCAATACTAGATTTATCTAGAAATAAAATAAATCCATGATAAATACCATTAATATTTCAAAACCGAGCAAAGAATCACCACTGAGAAAAATCTCTCTCTCCACTTCCACCCTCACTTCTGTCCTATCTTTGCCCCAAAGTTAACAGTTCTAGTGCTTTTTCTTCTTTCTGCATGTTAACTGTCTAGCTTAGTGCTGCGCGGTGTAAAAGCTAGATTAGCAAGTCAAACAAAGAACATGTAGATTTTAACAGCTAGTTTGTTCACAACTGCAAGTAAGTATAGAACTGCCAGCCCCTGGCTGCTCTTCAGAATGTGGATGACCACACCTCCTCCAAGAGGCCCACCACCTCATCTGCTCTTCACAAGCCTTGTATCTACTCCTCACAACAGCTCTGCAAGGCAGGCCTTGTCCCTCATCTCACAGAAGAAGAAACTGAGGCCACGGAAGGGGGATGTGACTAGCCCAAGGTTGGGAAACCAAGATGCAACACCCTTGGGCAGGGCACTGCACACCCCAAGGTCTTCCTGCTTCTCCAGGAGAAGACAAGGAGATGCAATCAGCAAACACACTGCTTTCCAAGTCAACTCACATCTGTGGATGTTTTCAATGTCTGCCGGGTCCTGAAGAATCTTAGTTAAGCCCTCCAGAAGAAGGGCTGCCTTATGATAGCGATAAACAATATCTTCAGTCTGCTGAAACATTTCATCCAAGGCTGCGGCTTGAACCTGGAACCAGTGAACAAAGACAAGAAGGTTCTCAGTTTTTCCAAGAAAATATGAATCCATGTGCACAATGCAGCTTTAAATGGGATCTCTCTAAAATTAATACATTCTGACAAAATGATGTAACTTACTGGGTGAGTGATATAAAGGGAAAGCTTCTTGACAAAAGAGTTACTAACTGCATTCAAACATAACCTTCTTGAACTCAGAGACTCAAAACTCCTAAGGTTTAATACTTCTAAACTGACTCATCTCTGACTTCAATAAAGTTTACTTTAAATATATACTTCCATACTAGTAACCTGGCATTTCATTAAAGCAGATTTTGTTACAATGAAATAATTAAATGATGTTAAAAGCCATTTATCAGCTGCTTCCTTCAGTTAAAGGACTTTCTGGTGTGTGGGATTTATTCACTCAGAGACATTTATTGGGCACCTCTTGAATTTACGGGGCAGTGGGCATACGATGAAGGCGAGCTCACAGTCCAGGTAAGGTATGGGCTGTGCTCCAAGGGCCACACGATATCACAGGAGGAAGCCCTGGATGGTACCCAGTGGACTACGCTCAAGGGGCACCTAACCAGACTATCGGGGAGGGGAAGGTGAGGAGAGCCTCCAGGAAGTGACACTGAGGCCAAGTCAAGAGAAGCAGGCGTGAGCTGGGCAGTGGGAGAGGGGGGCAGGGCCTTCCCAGTGTCATTCACAGGGTTATGAGCATTTTGTTTTCCCAACAGCATCCTAATTTTCTCTTTAATCATTCATCTCTGAGTCTGTGAGGGATCCAGTGTGCTAATTTACCTGTCAGTATGCTCTTTCAAAAAGTAAAGCCACTTAAAATAAGATAAATAAAATGGATATGGAAAATCAAAGTCCTGAAACGGAAGGAGAAAGAAAGAACTACGTGTAAGGTGAGTGCCCCCATGCTGCTCGGCAGCCAGGGCCTAGGAGAGATTTGTTGGAGGCATGTGGCCCTGTCATCAGCAGAGACAGCAGCACTGTCACTCCTCACGACAGGACATCAGTCCTGGCACAAATTTTAAGAGAAAATCTGTCCTACGAAGTCTTAATCTGGTACAAAACAACACAGTGCATAATATTATTCATGTCCAGTTTATAGTAATATAATATATATTATTCTCATCAATAGCTTATATTCCAAAATTATTTTCATATGACTTTTTATTATGATGGCTTTCAAAAAAATGCCAAGGGGGTAATGTAACAGTACAATTTCAGAGTTCAGGTAAATCTGGGGCCAAGAAGGAAGGTCAATTGTGTTAGTATGGTAAAAATCATAAGGCTGGTCAATAATTAAATTCTTCCCCACTGAATTACTTCTTTAACAGCCCCTAATTTCATGCTTAAGATACAGAAAAAAAATTATTTCTACAAATATAACCAGATATTTGGCAAAGTAGGTTAAACTTCTTGTCTATACCGAGGTCAGTCATGGAATCTGAGCACATGAATTTCTGCAGATAGGGTAAAAGAGCAGAATTTTTTTCTAACATTTTAAGCCAAATTTCTTAAACAATGGGAAATGAAGAAACAGATCCAGCAAAAGCTTTTAGATACAAACTATCAAAAGATTAGGTCATGCCTAATGTTAGCAATTTTTAAGTGGTATGATAAACTTTTATTAATACCAAATGTGGTAACCAACACAGCTTGGTTGCTGCATGTTGCTGCTACTGCTAAGTCACGTCAGTCATGTCCAACTCTGTGTGACCCCATAGACGGCAGCCCACCAGGCTCCCATCCCTGGGATTCTCCAGGCAAGAGTACTGGAGTGGGCTGCCATTTCCTTCTCCAGTGCATGAAAGTGAAAAGTGAAAGTGAAGTCGCTCAGTCGTGTCTGACTCTTCGCGACCCCATGGACTGTAGCCTACCAGGCTCCTCCGTCCATGGGATTTTCCAGGCAAGAGTACTGGAGTGGGGTGCCATTGCCTTCTCTTTGCTGCATGTTAATTCAGTCCAAATACTCCTTCAGGAAGAGGTACCATGACACCTGGGACATGGGAGTGGTGGGGCTTTAACTCTGTTTAAAAGGATGATGTCAAGCAGGTATGCATTTCAAAAGATGCTCTTAGAATGGACAAGGAAGCTGTGGTACATATACACTATGGAATATCATTCAGCCATTAAAAAGAATTCATTTGAATCAGTTCTAATGAGATGGATGAAACTGGAGCCCATTATACAGAGTGAAGTAAGCCAGAAAGATAAAGACCAATATGGTATACTAACACATATATATGGAATTTAAAAAGATGGTAATGATAACCCTATATGCAAAACAGAAAAAGAGACACAGATGTACAGAACAGACTTTTAGACTCTGTTGGAGAAGGCGAGGGTGGGATGTTCAGAGAGAATAGCATTGAAACAAGTATACTATCAAGGGTGAAACAGATCACCAGCCCAGGCTGGATGCATGAGACAAGCTGCCTAGGGCTGGTGCACTGGGAAGACCCAGAGGGATGGGATGGAGAGGGAGGTGGGAGGGGGTATCGGGATGGGGAACACATGTAAATCCATGGCTGATTCATGTCAATGTATGGCAAAAACCACTACAATACTGTAAAGTAATTAGCCTCCAACTAATAAAAATAAATGGAAAAAAAAAGATGCTCTTAAACACCACAACTATTACTGTACAACATTACACTTTAAAAAGGGTTACCATTTCTACAGCACAGTTATAGATGAGTTTCTCTGCAGTTACGCTGTTGATTTCATCAATAAATCTCTGCTTGTCAGAGAAGAAGCGATTCAGCTTTTCTGTCAATTTCTTGCACATGATAATGCAGAATTTATATCGTTCATTCAGATTTTTGACAACTGGAAAAAAGTTGAAATAACAATTCAGTTTTTTTTGAGAAACAGAGTCATGGTGACATGCAACATTCCTGCTAACTTAAGGAAAGCGACAAAAAATGATCACTGAGAAAAGTGCCTGGAAATCATTCTTTCCTATGTCCTCTCAGTTAAGAGAGGATTGACAACAAAGCACCTGACTGCTCTATATTAAAAACAGAGAAGCCAGCATCTTTTCCCATTGAAGAATACTTAATAACACAGTGATCCCTCATCAAAAACCCCTTTCTCAGTGTCAGTGCAAGGGGAGAGGACTGCTGGGCCCTCAGGAGCTCATCGTGCCCCAGCCTACCTTGCTTCACACCCGAGGACGGGCTCAGCTTCCCGGATTTGATCTGCTCTTTGGCGAGATGCAGAGAGGCTGCTAGGAGTTGTGCAGCTTTCATGTGCAACACGAGCTGCTCTACTCGCCTGGCCCAGAAACAGCAAGCACAGTGTTAGCCTATGAACCAACAGGCCAGACCCCATCTCAACCCGCCTTGACACTCTCAGTGCACAAAGGACTCCTGAAAGAAGGGTCGGCGTGGAAAAAAAGTGTACTTTTAACATTAGGGGCACACTCAGATAAGAGTACGATCTCTTTATAATCAAGTATCTTTAAAATCAAGGCTGCAGAACCTCCAGTCTTGGCTCACAGAGCAAAATTGAGCACTGAAATAACTCAGAGACTCCTTGACATTTTTGCTAACCGGACGTGACCTGCAGTGGGTGGCGAGGCCTCCAGCGTGGACACCAGTGCATGGAGGGCAGGAAGGGAGGAGGTGGACAGCAGGGGGCACCTACCCCCAGTCCTTGCTCAGCTGGCTGATCTGGTCCACCACCGCACTCTCCTGGATCTGGTACACGGAGACGGCCGATGCGCAGAGCTCCGGGCTCCCCCCGCGCACAGCTGTCAGGTCCAGCACACACTCCGTGAACAGCAGCATTGAGTTCAGGTGGCGTAAGGTGTCTGCATGTTCTTGCTAAGGCAAAGCCAACTTGTCTTAGAAACTTGAAGGTTAAGGAGGTGCATACTTATTTCTGTATACCAACCATGGCCACTGCTAATATTTTTCTATATGTATCAATATCAGAATGATCAAAGGAGGCTGAAATTTCTAAATTCCAGAAAACTAGTGAGAAGATAAACACAAATGAAATCAAAGGTGTGTCATGTGTTTTTGTGGCATGCATGAGAGCAACCATAACATTCAGCCTCAAAGATATGAGGCCATTGTGCTTTCACAGGAAAAAATGAAACACAGAACTAAATCAATGTACATGAGACAGAAACATGACCAAATAGATACTGAGATATAAGAACTTCAGCATATTCTGGACATGAGACTACACTTCTCGATAGTTTCATGAATTCTACTGGCTTAAAATTTCAGAGATACTTTATTTAAATTTCTGGTGGTTCCTCAGTTAACAGTGGTTCCTAATAATAAAGCTTTTAAATTTCATGATCTTTTCAGTTAGTTAGAGTGAAGTACAGACAGACATAATAGCAATGCATTAAAAATTGGTATTTTAAAATTAATGCTGTTTTGAGATTTGTTTTTAGCTAGCAATGTATTTTGAAATCCCAAATAAGACTAAGTTTCTCACTCTACTTCCATGGTTAAAAGGGATGAAAACCAGCGTCCTTGAGACAGGAGAATAAACAAACCAACTTTTGAGAGTCTCCCTGCTCTGCAACAGCAGATTGGAATTACTAGAACATAATTTACATTATACATATTTTCAAAATTACAGCTTAAACTTACCACAGAATCACTACTAAAATTTTGCATGCACTATTTTATAACTTTTATGTGAGATACTTAATTTTCCTCCACACACAACAGAAATCCTAGGGGTCCAGCACAGACACTTAGTGCCTTCGATGGTCTGGAGAATGGGTCATTTTAATCTGAAGTGCAGGGTGATCTGCACTGACTGAGGTCAGATGCAGTCCACGGGAAGGTGGCCTAGAGTCGACGCTGAGGAGTTAGCTGGCACAGGCTTTGGAATCGTAACATTAACCTCTGTTCTGGATGTGTGCTCAGTACGCTGCACATTATGACATGTTTTTCCCTGGAGAACCCACTCCGTGGAGGGACGTGACTATCCAATCTGCTGGGAAGCTGTATTTCTCAGCATTACTGACTCAGTTGGCATTATAATTTACTTTTTCAAAACTTAAGTTTAAGCATATCATTTTTATCTTGTAAGGTAAGGTAAGCTTTGAGAATAAAAAGTTATGGCTTTAGGGAAAAGATTATGTTTTAAAAGTCCTATAAGTAAAAGGGCTTCCCTCATAGCTCAGTCAGTAAAGAATCTGCTTGCAAGGCAGGAGACCCAGGTTCAATCCCTGGGTTGGGAAGATCTCCTGGAGAAGGGAGTGGCAACCCACTCCAGTATTCTGGCCTGGAGAATCCCATGGACAGAGGCACCAAGCGGGCTACAGTCCATGGGTTTGCAAGAGTCAGACACAACTTAGCGACTAAATCACCACCACCATAAGTAGTAAATTAACTTCAGATAAAAGAATTAAGAATACAAAATCTGTATGTGTCACTTCCTATGAACCAAAGCTCGTTGTGAATGAGTGTCACTGTCAACATAATTCTAAAAACACACCACCAAGGTTTCAGATAGAAAAGGTCACGGGGAGAACCACTGGGACTTGCTCTCGGACTCTGCCCTCTCATCATCAATTCTCTCCTCACTGTAGCCTGAAAGGACACATTGTAGGGTCTCTTCCCACCTCCATCAGCGTTTCCTCTGGCAGTTCGGGGGCTTCAAAGGTTACGAGACCCTCCAGGCTGGGGGGTGAAGCACCACAAGGCACATGTCTCAGGCTGGGGGCCGCTTCTGCTCCCGGAGGGGGAGACCCCGAGCACAGCCCAGGTGGGGAACCCCCACACACATGGCCACCGATGGAGCACAGAGAGCCCCCGGAGCCGCTAGAGCCCCCTGTGGAGAGAGGACATGGACAGCACTCGGTGATTAGTGCCCAGTGATCACCAGGCAGGATGGCAACCTATAAAAGAAACCCTCCTCCCACCCCAGCCCAAGAACAGGCTCTATCTTCCCATGCTCACCTTCATTCCTCAGCTGTAGGCATCCTTCACAGACTCATCACAGCTGCTTTTAAATTGTTTTAGACAAACTCTAGCATACGCCTTTCTCCCTTGCTATGCCACAGTCCTCAGGTGAGAAAACTCAGCCATAGGTGGTACATCACTAAAACTCTACCCAAGTGCTGGTCTGGAGGCACTTACACCAGTTCTGTTTTCTAATACTACGAACAACATTGTGATGAGATCTTGCCTTCTTGTGAGTTATTTATGTGTGATAAATACTTTATAAGGCCGTTTTGCTGTGAGTGGTCTTATAAACAGAATGCAGTTACCACAGGTCAAATATTACTATACACACTTCTATAGCTCTAAGAATCATCATGCTGTCTTCTAAAGCAGCCAAAAGTGAGCACACAGTTCCCATTAAGCCTCCACAGCACTGGGTTATACTATTTAAATGTTGGCTTAGTTAATAGGTATAAACTGTTATTTTCTTTCTCTCTTTTCTTCAGCCGCCCTGCGTGGTTTGAGGGACCTTAGGTCCCTGACCAGGGATGGAACCAGTGCTCTCTGGAGTGGAAGGTGGAGTTTGAACCACTGGGCCACCAGGGAAGTCCCCTCATTTACTTTTTATAACCCTTTAAGGTAAAGAAGATTATTATCTCCACGTCACTGGAAATTATGAAGGCATTTTCAGAACTTGAACCCCAAACAAGAGCCCAAGGCAGAACTAAGTCAACCCTCACCTGAGGTGGTTCTTATCCGAAGGCCCATGTGGGCACACGTGGTGGCTGCGGCCCTGTGTGGGGGAGACCCCACTGTGAACATCACAGCCCTGGGACTTGCTGCTGCTCCTATAGGAGGGGCCAGGGCAACACCACAGGCTCCTGCAGGGGCTGAAAGAAGTTCGCCACCCATGTTATATTCCAGAGGGCAGGGTTACAGAGAGACTTCACTGTTACATTAGATTTTTGTTTTTTTACAATAAGCACTTATTACTCTTAAAAACAGAAAATTCAATTTAGAGCTCCATGAAAAATATTTTACAGTAATCTCTTCACAGCTGTGAATCTTCCTTTCACCAAAGCCTAGAAGTCAGTTTTCTGTGCACTTCTAAAATGTGTGAACTGCAGTCACAGCTGAGAATAATTTGAAAATGTGGAAACTAAGAACTGGAAATAAAAATGTGAGGGAAAAAACCTGATTAAATAATGGGCAGAGGATCTGAGAAGTTACTTTTCAAAAAAATATGGTCAATAGGTACATGAAAAGATGTTCAACATCACTAATCATCAGCGAAATGCAAGTAAAAACCACAGTGAGACACCACCTCATACCTGTCAGGACGGCCATCCTCAAAAAACCACAAATAACAAATGTTGAGGATGTGGAGAAACTTAAGAGCTAAGCTGTCTTATAGCTTATAGTTTCTTAGAAGAAAATGCAGAGTTAAGCATGAGATAGAAGTATCTAGGGAGACTCCAAGAAAAGGAAGACAAAAGCAAAGACACAAGAGAAAAGTTTACCCTGCTACCTACAGCTTCAGCAAACCCTACACACAGCCTCACTCATGGCCAAAAAAAAAAAGAAAAAAAAATACCTCACACTATTTGACTTGATTCTTTATATCTAGTATATCATGCCTGGCTTTCAACAAAAAATTAAAAGGCAAGCTCATCAACAGATAGGATGTGGCAGAGAAGAGAAATGAGTAATGTATCTGATGAGCTCATAAACAGACAGGACATGGTAGAGAAGAGAATCAGCTAGCCTGAAGGTACATCAGTAGGAACTTCCAAAACTGGAAAGCAAAGAGAAAGAAGAACCAAAACAAAACCCCCAGAATGTCCAAGAACTGTGGGACAACCACAAAGGTATAATATACATGCAATAGGAATATCAGAAGGAGAAAGAAAGAAACGAAAGAAATACCTGACGTATCAATAGTAAAGACCCAAGTAGTTTCCCAAACAAATGCAGAATCAAACCACAGGTCTAGGAAACCTCAAGAACACCAAGTGGTTAGAAGTAAAAAAAAAAAAAAAAAAAAAAAAAAACCTATACCTAGGCACTTCATATTCAAACAGCAGAGAATCAAAGAAAAATTCCTGAAAGAAGCCAAACTGTGTGTGTGTTGGGGGGTGGGGTGGGGGTGGCGGGGAGAGAACATCTCATCAATTACATCAGAGGAACAAGGTTAAGACTTACATCAGACTTCTCTTTAGAAACCATGTCAGATGAAAGTGGAGTGAAAAGTGAAGTCCTGTTGTACAGAAACCACAAACCACACTCAAGATATTTACTGGTCTAGACATTCCCTGCTTTGGAGTTTCATGGGAGAGCCAATAAAAGAATTATAGAGAAAACAAGAACAAAGGTTACAACAGTGATTCTCAAATTTAAGTGTGCATAATAATCACATGGGGCGTTTGCTAGAGACACAGATTCCTAAAATCCATTTCCAGAAAGCTCAATTGAACAAGTCTGGTTTAGGGCATGGAACCAGACCTTTGATTTCATTTTTTTGACAAGCAGTCCAAAGTAATCTTGGTGTGGGTCCATGGACATAAAGGTCTCTGGGACAACTGAAAGAGCCAGGGATCTCAGTGACCCATGGCTCTCTATAGGACAGGCCTGCTACATAAGAAATGCTGAAGAACACATATGTGTTTAAGGTAACTTTGGCTAGTGTTATCCTACTGATAAAAAACAATCTTGGTCAGAACTCCTTCTAACTCATGGGCTGCTTATCATCCAGACACTACACAAGTCGCTGTCTTGGCAGGCTCCTAAGAAATCAGATGAGATGACAGAGGCTGGATGAAGAGATGTGGGTCAGCAGGTTCATGAACAGTCAAGAGGAGTAGACAGGCAGAATGTTATCCCCACATCCAAGCCAGAGATGCTCACGTCCTGACCCTCGGAACCTGTAAATACCTACATTACATGGCAAAGAGGAATTAAAGTTGCAGATGGAACTAGGGTTGCTAATCAGCTGGCCTTAAAGAGATTATCCAGTGGGTCCAATGCAATCACAAGGGGCCTTCAAATGGATAACAAGCAGGCAGAAGGTCTGAGTCTAGACTGGCCATGGCTGGCTTTCCAGATGGAAGGGGCCATAAGCCAAGGGGAGCAGGTGATCCCTAGAAGCTGGAAAGGCAAGGAATGCAGTCTCCCCAGAGCTCCCAGAGTGAACACAGCCCTGCCCACACCCTAACTTCAGCTCAGTGAGACCTTGAGAACCGTAAACTAATATACTTGTGGTAATCTGTCACAGCAGCAAGAGGAAACTAACAAATTACATGCCTAAAGGAAACCAGATTTTTCTTACCTGTATCCATTGGTCGTTCTGTATTTAAACTGTCCGTGCTGCCCTGATGTCCACCAAAAGGTGTTTTTACTTGTTGATCTGATAATTTCCCAGTACTGATGGACCTAAAAAGAAAAATAATAGTGTAAATGTATACTTTTAAAAAATCCGGACATATCAATAACTAGGGTGACTTAAGCCACACCATAAAAGGACTATGGGAAGTCAAAGAACAAGGAGACAAAAATAGAGACCAAACAATTCAAGGCAGAGATTAACTTCATAACCAGAAAAACAGAAAGTAGAAACAGACCCCTCAGGAAACTTAGGATGAGCTCTGATTCACACAGGTGCAGGAAGCATCTTAGTTTTCTGAGATGCTACGTTTACAGAGTCACTAACTGTACACAATATCACTAACCACTGGCATAGAGCAGCTGCTAGTTTGGTCTGGTTGTTTTATGGTAGAAACAGAGGCACTGCTACAGTCTTGAAGTTTGAGGCTGGAAGGAAATGGCCTTGTTTACCTGCCAAACGCTGCCTTGACCTGATGCTCGGACTTCTGCCTCTCCCCTCCTTGAACCAGGACACAGTGAGTGCATTTCCTTGGGTTGTTCCCGTCTTTTGGCTGCCCCTCGGAAGGCCCATGGCGAGTGGCCAAGGCGAGAAGGTTGGAAGATGCTTGCGTTTTGGGAATTTTGAAAGGAGCCGTGGTCTAAAGAAAAACACGTAAGCGAATTACTCCAACATATGGAGTAATTCCATTCAGAGTCACCAGGCTCACGGTGCAGAGGCTGGAGCAGAGATTCCAGACTGTGGCGAACTTGGATTCAAATCTGGCTCCTCTACATCCAGTCTCTGTGACCCTGAAAGTTCATTTATGCTAAGCCTGCTTCCTTTCTCCATGGTAAACAGGATAATGAATGTAAAGCATGCAGCAAGTACAGGACTCACACTCGGCCTGGCACACAGCAGGTGCTGATTAACTGGAGCTGTTCTCCCCTGAATGCTTTCCACAAGTATCTGTTAGACTAGCTCATGACCTGGCTTTCTACTCCTAAGAACTCAGTTAAGCTACTGCTAAGCCGACTGCAGGGACCTTACATTGACACTAGCTCCCTGTACAAGCGCACGCCCTAGACAGCAGCCCAGAGAGTCAAGAGTGAGTGAGTTCCAGATCAGACTTCCCTGACAGGCCTGGTGACCTTCCCATCTCCTGGGGCCCTCCCACTATGCACCACTCAAGACAAGATTCTCATAGAACTTACCAGAACCCTGCTCTTTGGTTTGGAATGACCCATCCAGCCTTACGCCAGAACCTCACAGCACTCTACTCGCAGACCTAATAGAGGCATGTGCCCAGGTCCTGTCTTTGTCGGCGCTCTGACTCAACTTCTCTGTGTGGCTCCTGGGTGCTTCTCCCAGGACCTGGGAGTAATCAACTTCTCTATTTCAATTTCTCTTGTGGTCTGCTACTGGATCCAACTGACCATCCAGAACACAGTGCCCAGTTAAAAAATGTTCGTTTAGCCAAGTCATAACACCCACATGAGGGCTGAGTACACACACCTTAGTAGGAGAGCCAATGATGGTTGGTAACGGAGTTCTGAAGAGCCAGTCTGAGCTCCGCGGGGAGGACCCGCTGTGCTTGGTGGGGGAGGTCCCGAGGCTGCCAGGCCGGCTGGGCTGGGGGGAGCAGCTGTAGCCTGCCCCAGCCTGGGATGGGCACACAGGGTCAGAGTGCTGTTTTCTGAGCTTCTGCTTGTTCTGGTAGATGTCGGTGAGGGTGGGAGCGCTCTGCAGTCTAGCGCCCAACAGGAGAGGCTGTGGTGACTGGGCCTGCGGCACGGGAGAACCTGCCAAGGAGACAGAAGCAACGTTAACCCAAGGAGAGCAAGCGCAGAGCAGAAATGGGGAGTCAAGAAGACACCTCTCAAGTGAGAATTCTAACGAATGTCTTGTTTTCCATGAGATATTCTAAAAATTGTTTACCTGGCAAGACACAATTTTTTGGCTCCCTTACAAAACAGTGACAAGGGCATTGCTGTTGGTGTCCCAGGAGACAGAAGTTAATGACTGTGGGTCTATCAGCTGTTTTTATCAACAGCAAGCACATAACTCAATTAATGCAATGTATAATTACCAACAAAGAAAATTAAAGAGTAAATGGCTAAAGCTAATGAAGACAACACAAATCTATACTGAACAAGATGGTTTCTACTCTTCATGTGAAGACACACATGTATATTATCAATGAAATTATTCTCTCTTCTCATGTGGCAACTAAAAGAAACTCAAGCTGACCTAGAAAAAAACTCCTTATTCAAGAAAAGAATGTTGGCAAGAAAATTAGAAAGATAATATACTTTTCCTGGATTGTTTTTTTGTCTAAAAATAACAAGCATATGGATATTTGTCAGTTTCATGAAATTCATTTGAAACCTAAAATATCCATCTTCTCTACAAAGAGAATACTCATCGACAGACTTCCTGACTCTCAGGGGGACACTAGGGGACAAGGTCTCGAAGAATGGTTGGCTATGATCTGGGAACTCTCCTCCAAACCCTGCTGCTACTGACCTAACTTCCATAAGCCAACAGCTCCAGTTACAAATTCCTTGGAGCTTCTTGCAAGCCAAACCACCACCAACAACATTAAAGACACATAAACCTTCTTGGTGGCTGATAACCATTATCTTCCCCAAAACAGACACCAGTAAATATAAGATCCTGCTGCTGACCACTCTTAGCTTATTCTCATCCTAAATCTGGTATTTTAGTTTTTAGACCCACATTCTGCCATACATGTGTGTATACACATGTGTGTATACATTTGTCACAATAAACAGTGACAAAATGTTATGATCTGGAGAAAGTTATTTGAGCTCTATTTTTAAGGGAACACAAAATCTGCAACACTAAACCAAGAAAAGAGTTCTTTTCTAAGTAATGGAGCATTCCTTTAACTGCCTAGTTCCTCAAATGCACATGTAAGATTTGACTTATCAGAGTGTGATTTACACATATCTTTTCAGACATACATATTTTACATAATAAAGCAAATAAAGATCCACGTTTCTTTTTTATATGATGCTAACTGGTAGCTCTTATTAAAACCAATTTTAATCAAAGTAATGAAATTTCATTTTCTAGATTGATTTTCATTGTCTGTATGACAACCAGAATTTAGTCAAGTCATTAATTCCTAAGACTTGGTTTCATGAAAGAATCATATACCCAGAAGACAACAAATCAGCAATGATGCACTAGAGGACATTAGACCAAGACAGGAGAGCAAAGAAAATATCTCATATAAATTCTATTGGTTTGCTAAGACTGGAAAAATCTAACTTGAATTCACTCACTTCAGGACTTAAACCATGAACACTGTGCAGACATCGCCTACCTGATGAGTTCCTACTCCTGGATTCGTGACCCTGAAGATGCCCGCAGCAGCACTGACGGAACTGCTCAGGAATGGTGCCCACTGAGAGAAGGGGAAAGGATGGAGAAATAGCTCAGAACTAGTAAAGGATGGAACAGGCAACAGGTGCACAGGCTGTATATTACAGCTGACAGAATTTAATTAGCAAAGATGTAGTTCAGCTTGTGCATGCTAAGGGGCCCGCATGCTGGGTGCTGGGCTCACTGAGAGTAGAGCCCCACTGGGCTTGCCTGGAGAGCAGAGTCCCGGGAGAGCTGGGCACACCCTCGATGCCACAGGGCATGCCTTCATGACAAAGAATGTGAAGAGCTGGTCCCAAGGGTCCAGCCCATGGAGCTGCTGGGCCTAGCGGCTGACCCTCTACCCACCACCTTCCTGCCAAGGTCGCTCCCATGCTGTGCCAGCTGTGACTGCATGAGTCACAGATCTGGATGGCATGGTGCCTGGGGATGCTCCTTCAGCCTGGGTGACATCTTCTCAGGATTCACTGCCATCAGAACTCCTGCCCACTCCTCCTCCCTCCCCCACCCTTGGGGGTCAGGCTGATAGGTGGTCTGAAGGGCACCCGCCACTCCTGCTTCCTCCCTGATCTCCAGCAGGGTCTTTCCAGGTGCTCTCTGGAACGTTCTCTGCATCTACCTCTGGGAAGCCAAACTAACGAGAGGGACAGCCGGAGAAGACTTCAGGGAGCTTCAGATGAGAGACACGTGTCCACCAAAAAGAAGAGGTACTGACTAAGTGTGGCTGGGCCTTGCCCCTGGAACCGGGAGAGCCTAAGGGTTACAGAGGGGATGAGGAAGGGCCATGGTTTTGTTTGAAGAATATTTTTCAACTAAAAATACTTTCAAAACCATTGCAACAGGGCAAGTGGTGATGTAACATTTTGACGAAATGTCACTAGGGCTCTGTTCTGTGACTGGGGCCCCTGGGCACTGCCACAGTCTCTCACTCTCCCTCCTGCTGAGGCGTCTCCCCATGCCCTCTCGGTTTCCTCCAGCAGCTGTGACGGGGGATGCCGGCCCTCGTCTTGAAAGTACCTGTGTCTGTGTATGCTGGCCCTCCCTGTCCTGCTCCCCCCACATTTCTGCTGGGTGGCTGTCTCTCTCAGACTCTGCAGTCTCAGTTGCTCTGGCCTCTCTGATGTGTGTTCTCAAGTTGGAGCCTTTTCTCTGTCTCTCAGTTTTCCTGAAAATGTGGTTTGGGGTCTTTCTGTTGGGCTGGGATTGCTGTTCTGTGGCCTCCCAGGGTGCCCTGGGAGTGGTTTCCGAGCTCGCCCTGGTGCTGTACATGGTGACCAGGAGAGGCAGGAGGAGCTACCGCCCCTGCCCCTCTGCAGCAGGAGGGCCTCTGGTGGACATAGCCTAGCACAGTTACATACACCACTGCCTTGTAACTCTCTTAAATCCGAGCGCCAAAGCAGGGCAGGCTTATATATGCTTTAACCTAGGGTATCTGATTTTGTGTTTAGAGATGCTTTTTATCCATAAGACCCATGGATACTATCATATTTCCAACAGTGCTCCGAATGGATTTACAGACCCTCAAGAAGGAGTTGGAGCAGTGGAGGGTTGGAGGGAGGGACATGGCTCCCTATCAGCTGGGACTCAAAGCCACCAAGAGCTGGGCTCCTAAGGGATTGTCGTGTCACAGGTGTCATCATGAAAAAGGAGGGAAACAACTAGCACGTATTCTTCTTACCCAGAGGGGAAGGTGAGTAAGGCCTGGAAGAGCCAGTGGAGAGTCTTCGTCCTATGGCCGGAACCGCATCTGCTGGCGCTGGGGAGCAAGATCCCGGACGGAGGAAGCCCAGAGGGCTGGTGTTAGACCTTCGTACCGCTGCAGATCTGGGTAGAAATACAATTACTCCCTTGCTGGCAGCTTCCAGGATTTTATTTCCGTCTTTTTTCCTAAAGCTTCCAAACAGTATGCCGTGCAGTAGATTTTTTAAAGTATGGAGCAAGTTGTATGGAACAGACATCAAGTGTGTGAAACTACAGAGTGAGGTCTCCCTCCCACCTTGGATCCCTCCACTTAATTTGTTGCAACACTTCCTCAGTCCTACTCAAAAGGTTACTGCTATGTTCATTTCTAATGTATCCTTCCAGAGTTCCTTAATTTAAATATGAATGTATCATGCATGTGGGCATGCATGCTAAGTCATTTCAGTCGCTTTTGCAATCCCATGGACTGTAGCCCGTCAGACTCCTCTGTCCATGTGATTTTCCAGGCAAGAATACTGGAGTGGGTTGCCATGCCCTTCTCCAGGGGATCTTTCTGACCCAGGGATCAAACCCACATCTCCTGAGTCTCCTGCATTGGCTGCTGCTGCTGCTAAGTCACTTCAGTCGTGTCCAACTCTGTGCAACCCCACAGACATCAGCCCATCAGGTTCTTCTGTCCCTGGGATTCTCCAGGCAAGAATACTGGAGTGGGTTGCCATTTCCTTCTCCAATGCATGTATGCATGCTAAGTCGCTTCAGTCATGTCCGACTCTGTGCAACCCCACGGACAGCAGCCCACCAGGCTCCTCTGTCCACAGAATTCTCTAGGCAAGAGTACTGGAGTGGGTTGCCATTTCCTTCTCCCTCTGCATTGGCAGGTGGGTTCTTTACCACCAGCACCATATCACACTATATGAATTACCCAGCCAAGCGTAAACATCATTTAAATGGATCCACTACAAAAACATTCATCATTATTCAATTTCGTACACCTCCAGCACACACCCATGTGAGAGAGTAGTCAGCTATGGAAAGTGATGAACCTTCAATAACAAAGGACTTTAAAAGACAGGTGGAGGAACTGAGAAAGGGGCGAGTGCCCACCTACCGTGGAGAGCCATGTAGATTTGTGCTGGAGCCAGCAGTGGAGGTGAGGTTCTGCTCTATGCGCTGGTAGTTCCTCACCTGGGTGGGGACGGGAATGGGGGCAGCTGCGCTGTGTGGGGACACGGAGGGCTGGCACTGCCTGCAGACACGAGTCATGAAAAAGGAAAGAAATCCAGTGAAACCACTCTCCTTTCACTTGACCCACTGGTGACATTGAGAAAACTCTAGAAGAAGCCAAGTGATCACATCTGAATGCGAATAAGAAGTGATCTTAAATATACATATATATATATATAGCCGAAAACATCACACCTGTCACTTCAAGAAGTCTCCTGGCTTGCACACACACACTGAGGAGGAAGACATGCAGCCAGAAGGGGACACACACCCCTCTACAGCAACAGGAAGGGCCCACAGCCGGCACAGCGCCGCTTCAGCTGCTTACCTTCTGCGGCTCATTCTCATGTGATCAAGAGGAAAAATGCTTCTAGGAAACTATGCTGGGTAAAAGAACAGGAAATTCAAGAGCAGAGATGCCTGGAATGTTTACAAAAGTTATGAGTGCAGTAAGCATTCTCAGGAACTGGGACTTTGATGAAGACTAAAAACATACTGTGTGACTCCCAGCACACAACTCATGTGAGATCCACACTGTGCAGCACAGCTGGTTTCTTTCCTTGCTTTTCACAAATTCAGAAACGGCATGTCCTTAGATGACTTTCAATGCAATCTACAACATATCTTAAAACATCGGGGGTGACACTAGGCCTTAAGAAAGAATGAGTGATTTCATTCTTTTGCCTTTCCTTAATTCTGAAAAAGCCACAAAATCTCCCACTTTTGCCTAGTTACAATATTAGAGAGATAAAGAGATGATATATTTAGTTTAAAAAATCAATGAAACTGATAAACCCTTGGCGATATTAACTAAGGATAAAAGAGAAAAGACTCAAAATCATAAATGAAAGAAAGGTCATAACTAATGCCACCTACAATATACAGATAAATCCTACAAATACACAACCTACCAAGACTGGATCATGAAGAAAGAAAACCTGAATAGATATATTACTAGTAACGAGACTGAACCATTAACTGAAAACCTCCCAAAAGAGAAAAATCTAGGACCATATGGCTTCATTGGTGGATTCTAGCAGTTAAAGACTTACCAAACAACACTCAAACTCCTCCAAAAATTGAAGAGGGGGGAACACTTCCAAACTCATCCCATGAGTTCAGCATTACCCTAGTACAAAAGCCAGACACAGACACTATAGGAAAAGAAAACTACAGAATATCCCTGATGAAATTTGAAGTGAAAATCCTCAACAAAATACTAGCAAACCAAATTCAAGATTATGTCAAAAGGATCAAACACTATGACCAAACAGGATTTACAGTATACCATAATTAACAGAACAAAGGACAAAAACCACACAATCATCACAAATGATGCAGCATTTGTCAACATCCAACACCCTTTCATGATAAAAACTACTAAATAAAACAGGAATAGAAGGAAATTACCTCAACAATAATAAAGGTATATATGAAAAGCCCACAGCTAACAACATATTTAATGGAGAAAGACAGAAAGCCTTTCCTGTATGATCAGGGATGAGTTAAGAATGGCCTCCTCAACAATTCTATTCATTGTAGAATTCCTAGCCAGAGCAATTGGGCAAGAAAAAGAAATAAAAGACATTCAAACTGGAAAGGAAGAAATAAAATTATCTCTTCATAGACAGCATGATTGTAAATGTAGAAAACTAAAGATTTCACATACAAGGGGAAAAAAAAGACATCTGAACTAGTAAACTCAGCAAAGTTGCAGGATATAAAATCAACACACAGAAAAATCAGTTGTATTTTCCATATATTAACAATGAATAATCCAAAAAGGAAATTAAGACAACAATCTCACTGATACTAGTATCAAAAAGAAGAGAATTTGAGAAATAAGTCTAACCAAGGAGATGAAAGACTTGCATGATAAAAACTACAAAACATTGTTAAATGTAATTAAAGAAGACACTTCATATTCATGGATTGGAAAACTTAATATTAAGATGTCAACAGTAATACCCAAAGTATTTTATACAGATTAGTGCTGTCCCTATCAAAATCCCAGTGGCTATTTTTATATAAATAGAAAAACAAAATCTATCCTAAAATTCATATGGACTGTGCATGGACCCTGAATAGTCAGAATAATCATGGAAAATAATAAAATTGGAGGTCTCAGTCTTTTTATTTATTTATATTTTAGGCTGCGCCACATGGGCTTGACAGAGAAGGCAATGGCAACCCACTCTGGTACTCTTGCGTGGAAAATCCCATGGACGGAGGAGCCTGGTAGGCTGCAGTACATGGGGTCGCTAAGAGTCAGACATGACTGAGCGACTTCACTTTCACGCCTTGGAGAAAGAAATGGCAGCCCACTCCAGTACTCTTGCCTGGAGAATCTCAGGGACGGGGGAGCCTGGTGAGCTGCCGTCTATGGGGTTGCACAGAGTCGGACACGACTGAAGCAACTTAGCAGCAGTAGTATGGGCTTGAGGGACCTTAGCTCCCAAATCAGGGATTGAATCCAAGTCCATGGCACTGAAAGTGCCAAGTACTAACCACTAAACCACCAGGGAATTCTGAGAGATCACATACTTCTTGATTTCAAAACATACTACAAAGCTACAGTAGTCAAAACAGTGTGGCATTGGCATAAAGACAGACCTATAGACCAGCAGAGAACTCAGAAACAAACTCTTGCATTTATGAATAAGTGATCTTTGACAAGGGTGCCAACATCACTCAATGGAGAAAGGAGAGTCTCTTCAGCAAATAGTGCTGGGAAAACGAGATATCCACCAGCCAAAATTGAAACTGGACCCTTCTCTTATGCCACATACAAAAACCACCTAAAAACAGATTAAAGATCTAAATACAACAACATAATGTATAACCATACATCCATGTGGAGACCATATATGGAGACCTATTGTACAACACTGTGAATATACTTAATGCTGTTTTTGAACTCAAACTGAAAAATGGTTAAGACAGCAATTTTTCTTTTTTTTTTTTTTACAATTTTAAAAAATGTTTAAAGAAAGAAACCATTGTGAAACAAAATAAATTTTAGAATCAAGAACAGAGTTCTGTAACTTCACTCAAACACAAAAAAAATATGAAAAAATGTTTAGTGAAATACATGCAGACATACCCTCCACACACCAAGAACTCATTAGAAGCACGTCTGCCAGCAGTTCCCATTGGCATATCATCTGAAGAAAAAAAAAGAGAAAAATACAACCAGTTTTGCTAAACCACTTGCTTAAAAGTGTTTATTGTTCCAACTTGACTATTAGGAAATAATTTGATCACAATACAAATTTACCATTTGCTTATGTTGTGATTTTGCAACAATAAGCTAGTAGGGAACACTGCACCCAGTTGAACTCACAGGCTGCCAACATCAGGTTTTTTCAAGGTAAACTGTCATGCTTATTGCAACAAGTATGTATTTCTCCACCATTTAATATGTGCAAAATCTGTGCTACTGTTTTTACCATGTTCCGTTTCACATGTCACTGACAAAGGTTTTGGGTGTTGTTCTCCTAACCCCAATTTGCCATAAACACTGTGGGCTTTACTGAACTACTTTGCAGAGTGTGGTGACTTAAGAACAGGTGTGTCACCTTCTAATACAGCTGCCTGCACCCCGAGTCCAGTTCACTCTAACGCTGGAGCATCCCCACTCCTGCATGACACTCTCCTGGGTCTTGCATGGGTGGCTGAACAAGATGTCATGAAGCTAGGCCTCTTGGACACAGATGCCACAGGGAGTCTTCATGCTCAGACATCACCCATCTACGGGAACAGAGTGCAGCTCAGAACACAGGGTCTCTCATCCCTTACCAGCTCTACACCCATCAGATCACACTGCCCTGTGTGACCTTTACATGGCTGCAAAGGTATAATTCATATGGGCTGATGTGAAATAGTAGTGTTGACTAATAATATAAATTTTTAAAAATAAAATAAACTATGGTAACTTCAAAATACTCAAAAAGGAAAAAAATACTCACAAACCTCCCTTTGAATGGCCCTACATGCAACTGAAGAATATCAATACATTTATATTTGTCCCTGCTGTCATGAAGCTTACACTCTAGTAGTGAAAAAAGGTTAACAGTAGCAGGAAGTGATAAGATGTATAAAAGGAAAATAAGTCAGGGTAAGGGGATAGAGAGGGCCACAAAGAAGTCAGTTTTAAAGACAACAGTTGCCCAAAGGTAATGGAGATAACAGGGCAGAGGGGACAGGGTTGGAAGCTGGAGTTCACCTCTCCATTTTGCAGCTTTGAGTTTGGAATCATATATCACTGTGAAACAAAACTAAGAAGAAAAGAACAATCCCTAGAAATCAAAAATAAAATGAAGTGATGGAACCTAATCATGTATCAGCTCGGTAACATAACTACCAGAGGGGAATGCTTTCAAGTCACTTTAAACTTGGAAATTTAATTGAACATTCCTAATGGCTAAAGAGCCTCTTGATGAAAGCGAAAGAGGAGAGTGAAAAAGTTGGCTTAAAGCTCAACATTCAGAAAACTAAGATCATGGCATCCAGTCCCACCACTTCATGGCAGATAGATGGGGAAACAGTGGAAATAGTGGCTGACTTTATTTTTCTGGGCTCCAAAATCACTGCAAATGGTGACTGCAGCAACGAAATTAAAAAACGCTTACTCCTTGGAAGGAAAGTTATGACCAACCTAGACAGCATATTAAAAAGCAGAGACATTACTTTGCCAACAAAGGTCCGTCTAGTCAAGGCTATGGCTTTTCCAGTGGTCATGTATGGACGTGAGAGTTGGACTATAAAGAAAGCTGAGTGCCGAAGAACTGATGCTTTTGAACTGTGGTGTTCGGGAAGACTCTTGAAAGTCCCTTGGACTGCAAGGAGATCCAACCAGCCCGTCCTAAAGGAGATCAGTACTGGGTGTTCATTGGAAGGACTGATGTTGAAGCCAAAACTCCAATACTTTGGCCACCTGATGTGAAGAGCTGACTCATTGGAAAAGACCCTGATGCTGGGAAAGACTGAGGGCAGGAGGAGAAGGGGACGACAGAGGATGAGATGGTTGGATGACTTCATTGACTCAATGGACATGGGTTTGGGTGGACTCCAGGAGTTGGTGATGGACAGGGAGGCCTGGCGTGCTGCGGTTCATGGGGTCGCAAAGAGTCAGACACGACTGAGCGACTGAACTAACTAATGGCTGAGCCTTTGTTGGGGGATTTGAGCAGCCCCTCAAAAAGGAAGCTGTCTGAGACAATGACTCAGACTGATGACCCAGTGTAGACTCCCATAAGATCCGCCACACATGAACCTTTCAAATAACATCTTAATTGTTAATTCTAAATTATGAGCACATGACCATCACCAAACATTCAAAGAAAGAATCTAAATGAAAAACTAGACTCTGAAACAAACTGGAGGGAAAAAAGAACTAAACATTTTACAGGGGAAAGTTAATAAAAATAACAATACTGAGAGGGAGATAAAAAGAACTTCTAAAAATTGAAAAGATGAGAGCATAATAAGTGAAAAACCCAATAGAAGATCAATGAAATAAAATTCACATTTTATGGCAAGGCAAGAGAAATTTAGACAAAAGTTCTCTCTGCTCATTTGGGTCTCCTCTCTTCTTTTAGTGGATATTTTGCACCTTCATTAACCAGACCTCCTTAGGAAATAACCTTCCCTCTTAATCTTGTAAGGGGTCATCACAACAACCCACCACTGGCTTTTTACATGCAGACCTGGATTGTGTAGCTAGCAACATGTCATTTGATGTACAGCCCCTATATAATTGTGCTTTGACCAGTAACAAGTAGAACAGTCCTTATTAACTTTTCATCAAGAGAACATTAAGGAAACTTTCCTAAAAGTAGAGCAATACAACAAAAAGATGAAAAATCAGACAAAGAAGGCTAAGAAAATCAGGAGTATGCTCAGGTATGTGTTACATTAGTAGTGTTAAGTTGTACAGATGTTTTAAATGTTTCCTTCAGAGACCTCCAGCTCCTGATTTCACATGTAAGGAGCTTGGAAGTCACCCTTCCATCTTGACAAGTGAAAACTCTTTTTGGTTCCAGAGGAGACAGGAGGACCCTGGGCAAAGAGATGTCCCCAAGACTGCAAAAACAGGCACACACAGAGAGGACTGGCTTCCCTGGGAAGGGACTCATCAACCGAAACGACTATGGAAACCAGAGCCAGGGCAGGAACACCTGAGTGAGAACTGACAACTTGCTGGAGTCTCGGGACAGACAGCTCTGAAAGCTGAAAACTCCAGGGAGTCGCAGTCATAGAAGGAGCACAGGGCTGTCAGACTGACCTCTGGAAGCCCAGGCAGACTGCCACAGTAAATGTGGAGAAAGATACTTTCCTGCCTGGAGCAGGGGAGGGGGCTTCTGTGGAACAAGGCCAGTCCTCAAGGGACATGTACTAACACGAGTTTACCAACTGGGGCTGAACTCAGAGCCTCAATGACCTGGAGATGGGGAACCCCCAACTCCAGGCCCCTCCAGCCACCCTGTCCCACCTCAGACAAGAGAAGAAATGTGAAATAGCTCTGAGGTTCACAAACCAAAGGCTCAGGCTCCATGAAAGTGTGTGAAAGTCGCTCAGTCATGTCTGACTCTATGCTCCATGAAAGGCAGAGCCTTAACCACAGGGCTGCCTCCTCCCCACCACATCATTAACGACCACAGCTCTAATGGCCTGTGGACAGCACTTACCTACCCCACCCCAGCCCTCAATACGTCAGATGCAGCTATCTAGACACAAGTACAAGCCACATCAAAGGCAAAAAAACACCCTGAAGAGGCAGAGCATCAGAACCAGACACAGTGGGGATGCTGGGATCCCCAGATCCGGAATTTAAAATGATGATATTATCATGTGTGTGTGCTCTCAGTCGTGTCTGACTCTTTGTGACCACAGGAACTGTGGCCCACCAGATTCCTCTGTCCATGGCATTTCCCTCGCAAGAATACTGGAGTGGGCTGCCATTTCCTTCTCTGAATGGATTAATATACTAAGGGCTCTAATGGAAAAAGCAGACAGCACACAAGAACACATGGGGAATAAAAGCAGAGATGGAAATCCTAAGAAAGAACCAAGAAGAAATGCTAGAGATAAAAAAACACTGTAACAGGAATGAAGAACATCTCTGGGAGGCTTATTAGTAGACTGGGCATGTTTGAGGAAAGGATCTCTGAGCCAGAGGATTATTTCAACAAAATCCTTGAAAACCAAAAAATAAAGACTTAAAAAAAAAGAACAGGATATCCAAGGTCTGTGGGACAACTGCAAAAGGTGTAACATGTGCAAAATCGTGATTCCAGAAGGAGGAGAGAGAGAGAAACAGAAGGAATTATCTGAAACAATGAGAATTTCCCCAGATTAATGTCAGTCATCAAGCCCCAGATCCAGGAAGCTCAGAGAACACTCAGCAGGGTAAATGCCCCAAACAACTACACATTGGTGTGTCATTTTAAAATTCTAGAAAATTAAAAATAAAGAAAAAATTCTGAAAGAAGCCAGAGGAGAGAAACACCTACAGAGGAATAAAAACAGAATTACACAGACTTTTCCGAAACCTCAAAAACCGAAAGAGAGTGGAATCAAATACTTATGGTGTTGAGAGAAATAAACCACCAACTTAGGATTTCATACCCTGCAAAATTATTCTCCAAAATGAAGGAGAAATAAAGACTCTCAGACAAGCAAAAATTGAGGGGACTTGTTGCCAGTAGATCTGCCTTGCAAGAAGTTCTTTAGAAGAAAAATAATATAGATCAGAAAACTGAACCTACACAAAGTAAGGAAAAGCACTGAAGAAGGAATAGGTGAAAGGAAAACGAAAACTTTTATTTTGATTATTCTTAACTGATCTAATAGGTAACAGTTTGTTCAACAGCAATGATGTACTCAGTTATGTGTGCTTCCCTCCATGCCCTATGTGTATACATATATATATATGCTTGTGTATGCTTATATATAAGTGAAATTAATGACAACAAAGATACAGGGAGGAAGGAATTAGGGTTATTTTGTTATTATAAGATACCCACAATATTCATAAATGGTATGGTGTATTTCAAAATGGACATGGATTAGTTGCACATGTATACTGAAAATCTAAGACAAATTAACCACTCAAAAAAATAAAAAAGAAGTATAACTGATATGCTAAGAAAGGAAAGAAAATAGAACCTTAATAAATGGTCAATTAAGACCACAAAAGGTAGAAAAAGAGTAGAAGACAAACAGGAAGGCAGATCAAGGACAACAATAGAAAACATGAATGTGGTAGGCACTAATCCAGGTGTATCATCAACAATCACTTTTAACATCAATGGTTGCACAGGTAAAAGAGGTTTCAAAGAAGACATACAGGTGGCCAACAGGTACATGAAAAGGTGCTCAACGTGGCTAATTATCAGAGAAACGCAAATCAACACCACAGTGAGGTAATTACCTCACACCAGTCTGAAGGCTCCTATCACCAAGACTACACATCATAAATGCTGGAGAGGGTGTGGGAGAAAGGAACCCTCCTACACTCTACACTGTAAAGATTCTGTCACTGAACACATCTTAGAGAATCAACACAATTCCAATCAAAATCCCCAAATGGCTTTTTTGTAGCATTTCAAGTCAAAATTAAACTACATGGCAGGGAAAGGGGCCAACAATAGCCTGGGTGATTCCACAGAATTCTTGGGTGCCCCCTCTCCTTCACCTCTGACCCCATATTACACACATATATCACATATTACACACATATATCACACATATGACCCCATATTACACACAATGAAACAAATCCTTTATATAAGCCTGATGGGGCATGTCTGGGATTGCATATAAATGAGGAAAGGACAGAACATTCAATAAATAATCCTGGGGTAACTGACAGAACTCTTATCATCTATACAAATGAGTTCCAGGTAAAGTTAAATATGGAAAAAATAATGAAAATCTCTAGAAGGCACCATGGTACTACTGGGGCAGCAAGACAGGACACTGCTGCTAGTGGCTACAGGCTACAACTTGCTTGTACCAACATTTTGCAAAGCTGAAGCTGTACATATCTACAGCCACCTGGAGGAAATTCTGGCACAAGGACATCTGTTACCACACATTATGAACAGTAAAAAGATGGAAATGATCCAAGTCACAATCAGTAGGGAGATGGATAAACTATGGTTCAGTTGTACTATTTTTAATATAAAATTCATAAGTTAAAATGAACTAGATACACACCTAGCTATATATCTAGATACACAGCAAAAATAGGAATAAAAAAGCAAACTACAGAAACAAATATTCTATGTAACATTTACTTAAAACTGTAATATCACAAAAATACTGTTTTTTTTAGATACAGGCATATTAGAATTTTAATATAAATCAAGAAGAATATATCTCTGGCAAGATTAAAATGAGGCCAGGTGCTCTGTCTGTACCTACAGCATTGTATACCTTTAAAAAGACATCTAAAACATCCATGGCAAAATGGTGACATAAATAAAATTAGCATGGTGGACCATTTGAGTATCTGCTGTATTATTTGGTTTGAAATATTTCACAATTTAAAACTTTTAACTACTTTTTCAGTAAGGTAAAACCACCACACAGGATGATTTTTAAAGGCAACTCCCAGCTCTCGGTGCTCTGGTCAGAACCTGCCACCTGCTATTACATGCTATGCATGATTCCCCTGCCCCAGCCAAGCAGCCCATAAGTGTGTCTGGTCTGAGGTCGCAGCCTTCATGACAGCTAGCAAGGGGCTAATGTAAGCAGCTATTAAATATGAATTTGACAAACATCCTGAGACCTCTTGACACAGACTTCTCCAGCTTCCTACATCTGCACACAGTCAACCTGATACTATTAAATCATTAAAGTCTTTTAAGTTTCCAGCTCTTCTGATCCTACTCCTCTGCAGCCAAACCCTAGTTCCTTCTTTTTTATGGTTCTAACTTCTCTTCTCGTAGGTCTCCCAGTGCCCTGCACTACTCCACAGAATCCTGGCTTGGATTCAGGCAGCCTGGATTCTGCTTCCTTTATAAAACATCCTTCCTGTGTGTTTATGAAGCTCATTCCTGAACTCTGGCCAGCATCTCCTGAAGCACAGCCAGACTGTTTGTAAGACCCTTTGACTCCCAGATTTCTTCCAAAAGACGTCTTCCTTTAGATCCTTTCCTTAAATTTAATTTCTCTCATTCTGCTGGCTTCTCCATTCCTTTCTGTTTGGACACAAACAGAATTTGAGGTCATTTCCTGTAAAGTTTTCATCTACCTTCAGAATCCAAGGTTACTGTCACAGGAACGTAGGCATATAGTTCTGGGAATTTCATCAACTAAATAAAATGTCCATTTGGAAAGGTGTCCTACACACAAGAGCGTGACATAAAGGTTAAAAAATGCTAGTCTAGTAAATTCAGAAATACAATGTGTACAAGCAGAAAAGATTCTCACATGAGTGGTCTGACGAGATGTTGTGTGGAACCAAAACAAAGTCATCCGTGTCACAAGAAGAGTTCTTGCTACTAGTACTGGCAGAATCTTTGGACACCTGGAGATAGTTGGGAGGACCCAATGGTGGGGAGGATAAGTTTTCTTCCTGAATATGCTGCATATCTGGAAGGGACTAAAATTAATAACATAAAATTAAAAGTGGCCTCAATAAAATGCAAGTCAGAACAGCCATAAGACTAAGGAATATTTTTTTCATGAAAGTGGCACAGAGTTCAATTTCATTGAAGATTTTAAAAATCTCCGGAAAACCTTTCCCTTAGAGATGCACAGTTTAAGGTGTGTTTGCATAACACCATCTAAAATGTTTCCCAAAAGTGATACTTAAATCACATCACACCTCTTATCACGTGCACAGGTCTGCCTCCCCTGAAAGGTCCGCTATGAATCTGTATCATGTCCCATCCCCACTTCAGCTCATGGCCTAGCAAAGCAGATACTCAATACCTGCTTACCTAATGACTAAAACAAAATGTCCAGGGACTTGAATGACATTCTGCACACAGTGTTCAATCTCCAATGAAGAAAAATTATAAAAGGGAAAAGCCAGAGACTATGTTATACAGAAAAGTAACTAAATCAGTAAGGATAACTGTGTATAAGCACAGGGAATTACTGACACTTCCAGAAAAAAAGATTTAGAAAGCCTTACAGGTGTGGGTGTGTTCCTTTTGTTTTCTTTTTTGTCAGGGGAAGGAGTTGATTTGTGGAAGATAGACCTGTAAGGTATCTGTGGAAGATGGGACCATAAGGGAAGAAAAGCATATGAATATATTGAATAGATCCTTGGGCACAAGTAGCTATACTCCTCTTGGCACTTGCCTAGTTCAAGGACAGCAGTCACAACTTTAACTGAATATCTTCATCATACAACAGTCTCCTAAAACAATGAACGTCATAACTTACTGTGTTAGGTCCCCATTACCCTGTTTAACCTTTGCTTCTATTTAAGAAAAATACTACAAAATGCTCTGTAAAGCCCAGTTTTAAACCCCTACTATTTCTTCAAATGTCACTGCACAGTGAAACCAGTCTCAAATCTCCTTATCACTTCTGTGTGTGTGTGTGTGTGTGTGTGTGTGTGTGACATATACATGATATAAATTCTCCTTATCACTTTTTGAAGAGCACTTATGCTTCAAGGTTATAAACAGAGTGGAAGTTGGAGGAAGTAACATTACAGAGCACTCACCACGGGCTTGGCACTGAGCTTGCCACTGGGCCCTGTTAAGAGCTTTCCATGTATTATCTAACTCCAGCCCTATTCTGATATCCATTTCATACATAAACAAACAAAACTCAGAAGAGAGAACAGGTGAGTGGGCCAGGTTCCAAGCACCTAACTCCACCAATTCTTCCCTGTGCCCTTGCTCCCCAGGCAGGGACTCTCTCAATGTCTCCCTTTGCTATTTATAAAATTACCTGCATCCACAGCCACCTGTGTGGAAGAGATGCTTCTCAGGTTCAAAGGTCATCTTCCACTAATTCCCTTCCCTCTTCAAGGACCCTGATCAACTCCCCTCTGCTTTCCCCTCTGCGCACAAACATGTTTAATTTCTTCACATCTCAAATCAATATAACTCTCTCAATTACCATCTTATCTCCCTTCTTCACTTAATAATGTTTCTTGAAATTTCAGTTTTCACTGACTCAAATTCCTCACCTCCAAAGTATCACTTGCTGCTGCTGCTGCTGCTAAGTCACTTCAGTTGTGTCCAACTCTGTACAACCCCACAGACGGCAGCCCACCAGGCTCCTCCGTCCCCGGGATTCTCCAGGCAAGATCACTGGAGTGGGTTGCCATTTCCTTCTCCAGTGCATGAAAGTGAAAAGTGAAAGTGAAGTCACTCAGTCATGTCCAACTCCTCGCAACCCCATGGACTGTAGCCTACAAGGCTCCTCTGTCCATGGGATTTTCCAGGCAAGAATACTGGAGTGGGTTGCCACTTCCTTCTCCTAAAGTATCGCTTTATTCACCACAAGCCTCTTTCTGCCTTCAACCCTCCAATAAAACTGCCTTTACTAAGCTTCCCAATGATTCCACTGCCAGGTCTGTGGACCCTCCACTACTCCTTCAGGTACTGGACTCTGCTTCCCAGACACTGGGCCCCCAGCCCTCCATTCAGGGACCCTGCTCTCCATTTCCCTTTCTACTTCTCAGTCTCTTTTGCCCCTCTAAGGAGACCAGTGGAGTATGAGTTTCCCCAGTGCCACCCTGGCCTCCAACCCTCACAGTTTATACCCACCCGGGGCCCACTGTCACCTTCCTACATCAACTACCCCTGTAGAGTGCTGACTCCTGAGCTCAGACCTGCCCCTGGGCCTGCACATCACAGTGTATCATCCTTGTGTTCCCCCTCTAAGTGGCTCCATCAACTCACACCACTCAGGCCCCATCAAGACCTTCCTCTTCCTTAGGTCCCAAATTCAAGCAATCTAAACACTGCAGACTCCTTATCCTGCTCTTCCTGGCCCCTTGTCCTTCCCTTTCCTACTGCTGACTTAGTTCAGGCCCTCATTCTCAAAAACAAACAAAGCAAACCCAAAAACAGTGCAATGGTCACAGGCTGTTCTCTTTGCTCTAGGAGAGAGGCCTCTCTTCTGATCTTCCATCCAATCCCCCACCTGCTTACAGAGGAATTTATTTGCTAAAACACACAGTGGATCAGGTCACACCTCCACTTAAAGCCACTCAAATGTCTCAGCACACACAGCCTGCTCTGCTTATAGCCCAGATTCTGCCAGGATGCAGACTGGCCCCACCCCGCTCCACTCGCCCCCCAGCGCATCACCTTGTTCTCTGCACCCTCAGGCTGGGCCATGAGAGAAGCCTGTACCACAGTGCTTCCTGCAACGCCAGAGGGTTCAGCTCTGTACAGCGCGGTGGCCATCAGTTATAGCTGGCTATGAACATGTGACATAGCCAGGGAGACTACAGAGTTGAATCTGCAAATCACTTAATTCTAACAAACATACGTGGCCACGGTGGGCTACAGACTGCTGCAACAGGTCATGGTTCCATGGGGATTCCTCTGCTTACGTTACCACTCTTACAAATTCAAAACTTAGCTCAATGTCTCTGCCGAGGGTCTCTCTGCAAGCTCTCAGTCTGATGTCATGGCCTCATCTCCAGTCCCACAGGCAAGAAGAGGCATGAGGCATCTGCCTCCCACAGGCTGCTCTACCGGCCTCTTCTCCACACAACCAAACCCAGAGCTGCCCAACAAAGGGATCTGCCCTGTCACTGGTATCAACCAAAACTTCACACGAAGTGGGCATTAAAGACATTTAATTAAAAGAGTAGATATTTAAGAGGTATTATCTACATAGCATTTAGCCTATAGCCAGTATCAGATCTAACAGAATTATTTGAAATTTTTTGTTCCAGTTTTTGTTTTTCACCTTTCAAAGACTTCTCTGGAGTAAAGTAGCAGCTGGGTATTTGGGGAGAATGTAAAGAACAGACTGTCACACGGGCGTGCCTGCCTGCATCCCCCTCAGTACAGGAGTCCAGCCCAGCCCCAGGAGGGAAGGAGTGCATGCAGGATGTCACCTCACTGTTGCGGATTATGTTGACACAAGGCCTATCAGATCACTCCACTTTCTAATCTCTAATTGGAAATTATACAGAAACATTCCTACTCTCCTTTTATTTCCAGATTTGTTACTTTCACTTCAAGCATGAGCTCTTCATAAAGGCCTTCTAAAAAAAGGTTTTTCCACCAAAGTTCTGGGGCTTCCCAGGTGGTGCTAGTGGTAAAGAACCCACCTGCTAATGCAGGAGACATAAGAAACCCAATCCGTGGGTTCAGTGTAGGAGACATAAGAGACTCAACCCCTGGGTCGGGAAGATCCCTGGAGGAAGGCATGGTAACCCACTCCAGCATCCTTGCCTGGAGAATCCCATGGACAGAAGAGCCTGGCAGGCTACAGTCCATAGGGCTGCAAAGAGTCAGACATGACTGAAGCGACTTGGCACGCACACGCAAAGTTCTGAGCATTTATAATAACTACGCCTCCCCTCCCCGCCACGTCTTCTCCCTGGTCCGCTCTTCCAGCAGCCCAAGCACTCCTCATTTGCTCTCCCTTTCAACACGTCTCATCCAACAAAAACCCAATACGCTGTGTCCTGTCAAAGCACTCTCCCATTGTGTTCCCCTGGTGACCCCTCTCTGTCTCCTCCCACGGTTGTCCAACCACCCTGCAGGCCTCCCTTACACCCAGGTCCTCCCCTGCCCCCCCCACCCAGCACACGCTGTGCTCTCCACACCCCGTGTCACCTTGCATCATGTACACACTCCATCACGGCAGCTACAGTCATCATGTTCCCACCACATACCACCACCCACCCTGCAACCAAGAGGGTAGCCAGGCCTATGTTACAAATGAGGAGCTGACCTGCCCAGCAGGTTACAGGAGCAAGCAGCAGGGCCAGACACAGTCTGCAGTCTCTCCCTGACAGTGTACTTCCTCAAACTCTTCCCATTCACTCTAGACTCAGTGTTTTTCTTTATTCCAGACTGGAACAGGAAATATACGACACTTTTTTTCCCTCTTTAAATTCATGGGAATATAACATAAGTCTTCTTAGCCCTCTGCCTTTCTATTTGGTCTGAGTCAGCAGGCTGTGCAGAAGGGCTTTGCCAGTGTCAGGGCTCAGTCATGTGCCATAGGCTGCTCCAGCCTCTGCCTTTACCAGGGGCCATAGGGTCTCCCTGGAAAACAGGAATAACAGCACCTGCCACTGCCTGAGTATTACTGTGTGCCGAGCAGTGCGGTCAGTGCTTTTCCTCTTTATCCTTAAAAATGCCATGAAGCACGTAACTTATGCTCACTTTACTTAGGCTCAGAGAGACTGAGTCACCTGTCACAAGCAACATGGCAAGTCACGAACGTGGACATGTCCAAGCCCAGACTCTTGAGCAGCAGGCTGCTAACCCCCAGCCAGCTTCCTGTGCAGCTCCCCAACCCCACTGCCAGCAGAAGTCAAGAAATGCGTGTCTGCAGGCCAATCTGAAAAATGCCCGAAGAGGCTGACACAATGGCCTCTGGACTTTGACTTGTGAAAAGTTTCAAGGTCACAACTCTCAGCCAGCAAGAGAGATGTGGGGGAAAGTCCAGGAAAGCACAGAAGAGGGAAAGACAAGACCCAGAGGAGCAAAGCAGGAGGAAAGAGCACTGATATTGGAGGGAGGGAGCTGCAGGGTAGCAGCTCACAGGGCCTGTTGCCATGACAACAGGGTCTCAGGCCCAAAGGGCACTCCTCTACCACCGGAGTTCTGTGTGTACTAACTCTCCAGATTGATGTTTATGACGTTCATAAAATAAATACAAAGCTACCTATCTACCTGTCACAGTGAAACCCTTCCCAACCTTACTGAGCATGAGAAGGTTAGAGCACTGTGTTCCTGGTTCAGAGGAAGGCAGCCCTGAGAGGTACTGTGTTCTGCTGAAGTGTGCACATCTAGGTAGGGGCAGATTCCAAACCGAGATCCTCAGCAACAGGGCTCCCTGCTCAGGCCTCAGCCGTGCTAGAATACTCCATACATAAAGAGAACACCCATAATATATCTGCAGCTCTGTCTGTGAACAGACGCACTAGCACACTCTACCGTCACTTCTAAGAACCCCGGGACTTACCGGTGGAGAGGCGAAACGACAGGACGGAGAGCTGCCATAGGAGCCTCCAGAGGCAGAGCCAGCGTACACGGGCACCGGGACTGGGCAGGCTGCGGAGAAACACCAGGGGAGAGAGGCCGCTGAGTGCAGCTACCTGAGTCATCCACTAGAAAACCCGCCACAACCGCCACAGCTTCGTGCTGACCAGAAATTCACATCCACATACTCCCGTGGATGAAACTAACAACACAGCAGTTACTGAACTATTTCAGCTTGGATGTAGAAGGAAAAATAGAACTGGAACTAAATAAACACAACTATAAGTTTTTAAGAAAAGCCCAATGAAATCTTGAGAAGCACATAAAAGATTAGTTTTGTGAAACCAAATACTAATTTTACCTTATGGCTGCATTTACTTGTTTAGTAAAAATGTAAAAAGTGGGTACTCACATTTTTTTACTGGAACTTGCTCAAGGAAAGGATGGCTGAAAAATGCTTCTGTAATGAAAATGAGAATGCAACCTTTAAACTGACGTTGATTTTGGCAGACGGGTTGATCTTGTCGATGTAGTCAACATAGTACCCTTGAAATCATATATAATTATTAATGTTGTTGTTTAGTTGCTAAGTCATGTCCAACTCTCTTGTGCAACCCCATAGACCCCGCCAGGCTCCTCTGTCCATGAGATTTCTCAGGCAAGAACACTAGGGTGGGTTGCCATTTCCTTCTCCAGGGGATCTTCCCAACCCAGGGATCGAACCCAGGTCTCCTGTATCAGCAGGCAGATTCTTTACCACTGAGCCACCAAGGAAGATCATAATTATTATTACCTTCTTTATACAGACAGAATTTCCTTTCAATGTAACAGCAAGGTATTTTTATAAATCATCTATAAAAATCATCAAATTGTAAGTAATTCTGAATCAATGAAAATTTAAAAATAATGGCTGTGAATTCTCCAAATGCCCATTACTAGCACAGTACCACCAAGACGACTAAAGTGGATCTGTCCTCTTGTGTGGCTGTCTTCAAGCAGACAACAACACAGAGAACCTCGGCCAGGCCCTCGCTAAGCACATATGTGAACTACAGCTGTCAACTGTCCTGACAGGAAGTCTTAGGCAGCTGATTTGTACAGTAAATTCCATCCTTCTATCCCAGAAGTATTTCTACAGCTGGTTTCACATTTTTAAAAAAGTTATTAATTTGATTTAGTTCCTTCAGCTATTCACCAAGGATAAAACTTACACAGTAAGACTGCTAATTAAAGATAAATAGGTAGGTGAGTACATGAAAGTTTATTATTTTACTCTCTTTTCCTGTATGTATAATTTATTTCATTATTTCTTTAAAAGCCCACAAAGACGATCTCAATTATCATTAGGTCTCCAAATTATGAGCTACTAAATAGCACAGAGTGGACAAGGAGAATAGCATAGCATGGAAGTTTGCCGGATAATACAAGATCAGGAATGAGATTAACTCAGATTTAGTCTAAATGACCTCACTCTCTGAAGCACTCAGTTCATGGCCTCAGTAAATGTTCTCAGTAGAAAGTAGTTCTAACAATTTCTGTGTAGGGGGTGGGATGAAATAATCTGGATATATCTTTTCTGAAACTTCTGTAAAAACTGATATCAAACTTTAGTTCATGCAATTGGTAAATATTTATATATTTCAGAGAAAGAAATGGACATTGCCCAGTAACCATGAGAAAAATGGGCCAATAATGAAATGACATACAGGATAATAGTTTCTAAATTATTGATTAAATATTTATATTCTTTCCATATATTTACAAAATATGTAAAAAGGGAAAACACAGAGATAGAAAAGTAAAAATGAATTTCATTTTCCTCTGAAACCTCTATAGTATCTTAAAAAAAATTGTTTTTCATGTGGTTGCCAAGAGCGGAAAGGAGGGTAAGGAGGGACTGGGAGTTGAGGATTAGCAGATGTAAACTATTATACATAGAATGGATAAACTATAAGGTCCTACTGTATAACAGTGAACTATATTCAACAACCTGTGATAAACCATAATGAAAAAGAATATATATATATATGTGTGTGTGTGTGTGTATAACTCAATCACTTGGCTGTACACCAGATACTAACACAACATTGTATATCAACAATACTTCAATAAAACATAAATTAAGAAAAAAAAACTCTTCAAAATACACAAAATTATAAACCAGATACAAAATTTGAAAATATTACTTACCAAAGTCCATTCTATCTTTTTGGTTTCTCTGAAGCAAACCCAAAAGAAGATTAGCCAAATAAGGTGATGTTTCTCTGGGAATGCTGCGGGGGAAGGGGAAAAAAAAAAAACACTAAAGTGGTGAGTTTATATATATTAACCACACAACTTTTGCTTTCATTATGGTAAATGAAAATGTACATGCAGTTTCATAAATACCACATTTTATACCAAGACAACCATGATAAAGCCTCATTCCTTAAAAGAAAAACAACCCATTAAGCAGTTGCCTCTGAGAAGCAGCATCAGTCTGGGAAGACTCTTGTCTTGAGATTCTCACTGCCTTTGTCAGAACATCTGCAGGACAAAGCCGCTCACAAGCACAGCCTACCTTGAGTTTTAACACAACTTCAACCTAGCACTGAGAGTTGCTACAGAGTTCTCTGTTAAACAAAGAGAAACCTCCAATTCTGCCTGGAAAAGGGCAGAGCTTAAATAAATACAAATGTCTCCAAACAAATGCTATACATAAGTTAAAAAAAGGCACAGAACAATTTGCAAAGTAATTTGTATTGAACTATATGTGTGCAGAAGCGCCAGAAAGAACCAGACATGGAACAACAGACTGGTTCAAAATTGGGAAAGGAATACGACAAGGTTGTATATTGTCACCTTGCTTATTTAACTAATATGCAGAGAACATCACACGAAATGCTGGGCTAGATGAATAGTTGGAATTAAGATTGCCGGGAAAGCTATCAATATGCTGATGACATCACTCTAATGGCAGAAAGCGAAGAGGAACTAAACAGCCTCTTGATGAAGGTAAAAGAGGAGAGTGAAAAAGCTGATTTGAAATTCAATATTCAAAAAATTAAGTTCATGCATCACTTCATGGCAAATAGAAGGGGAAAAAGTGGAAACAGTAACAGACTTTATTTTCTTGGGCTCCAAAATCACTGTGGACAGTGTATTAAATTAAATTTCACTGCAGCCATGAAATTAAAAGATACTTGCTCCTTGGGAAAAAAGCTATGACAAACTTGGACAGCCTATTAAAAAGTAAAGGCATCATTTTGCCAACAAAATTCTGTATGATCAAAGCTATGGTTTTTCCAGTAGTCATGGTATACATGTGAGAGTTGTACCATAGAGTAAGTCTGAGCACTGAAGAATTGATGCTTTCAAATTGTGGTGCTGGAGAAGACTCTTGAGACTCCCTTGGACAACAGCAAGACCAAACCAGTCAATCTTGAAGGAAATCAACTCTGAATATTCATTGGAAGGACTGTTGTTAAGCTAAAGCTCCAAAAATTTGGCCACCTGATGTGAAGACCCAACTCATTGGAAAAGACCCTGATGCTGGGAAAGACTGAAGGCAAAAGCAGAAGAAGGTGGCAGATGGTTAGATAGTATCACCAAGTCAACGGACATGAATTTGAGCAAACTCCGAGTGATAGGGGAGGACAGGGAAGCCTGGTATACTGCAGTCCATGGAGTCCCAAACAGTCAGACACAACTTAGCAACTGAACAACAGAATAAATATATATACATGAATAAGCAGTCAAACATGTAAAGAGAATTCACACTAAAAATATTTCTAAAGAAAAAGAATTTCAAAAGGTACACAGCAAACTCTTGTTCTACCTAAGGGCAGGGGAAGCCCAGCCACTTTCTGCTTTACACCCATCTGTTCTGTTTGTATTTCCCTCCGTTCCCTCAAAGAACACACATAACTTCTGTAGGTTTTTCTGGTGAATAAACTTAACATTATTAAAAAGAAAGAAAATGGCACAAGCACATGGGCACGTATGATGCTCTAGTAGCTTTCTAATTTCCTGTTAAAATGAACGCTCTCCTTACAGCTAACTGAAAAAAAGATGCAATAATGGAAAAACATCCATGAAACACATAGAATTCAGATAAATAACACACTATTGACATAGTAAAACCCAGTGTAATCAAGACACATACCTAGGCATTAAGTTCCTGTTTTTTTCATAAAACATCCTTAGGTCTTGAGGACTATTAGCCTGTTAAAAAAAAAAAGAAGAAAATGGTTTAATTTCCTAAAAAATCAAAGGCAAAAACTCCAAATCACATGATGGATGCTCCTATTCTTGCTATAGAACAGAGACTGAACTTGAAAGCCATGGACTGCTGAGAGAGCCATCGATGGGCACAAGGAACTTCTAACACCTCTGACACTGTATGCAGATTCTGCCTATCTGGGCATAATGTATCTTTCTGAGGTCAGATTCTCAGAGAGGCCTGAGGCTCAGAAGAGTCACTACTCTGGAGGTTACATGGCCCACCCAACAGGTGTGCTGTGTGAAGTCAGGTGCAATGTACCTTCAAGGGAGTCAAGCCAGAGAACTAAGAAAGTGCTCCTTTCCAGCCTCTCCAGAACACAACACAGCAGCCTTGCAGTAAGAGCTGCTGAATTACTGAAGCTGCCTCTACCTTCAAACCAGGCTAGGAAATCAAGCGTTCAACCTGCTGTGTCACTGACTTTTAATACCATCTTGGGCAAATTATTTCTCTCTGTTTTAGTTTTCAGGTTTAAAAAACGGTCTCTGTAACTGGCCAATATGAACTCAAGAGGAATCACTGTGATCATATGCTAGAAGAGCTCCTTCTGACTTCTGACAGAATGTTAAGGGAGAGGCAGACCTACCTAAAATAAATTGTGTAAAACCTAAACAATGACCTCTCCTCCAGAAGAGGCAGGAGGAGAGTTGTTACCCATCTTCCCAGACCTGCCCCCGCCCTCACATGGATTCCCAGACCCCAAATCCAGGCTAAGCAGGAAGTGCTAATGTCACCATTCACACCTATTTCCCATGGGGTTGTTAGCCTGAGCTGGAGAACCTAGTATTACCTAGGATTAACCCCTACACTGTTCAAGGGTCAATCGCATTCCCCATTTCATAAGTCAAAAGGCAACTTCAAAATGAAAAGAGCCCCAAACTAAGTATACCTGAAAACAGTCACGGTACCTGAAAAGGTGGCTTTCCAACGAGGCACTGATATATCACTGTCCCGATGCTCCACAAGTCAGCCTTGGCATCATAATGTTGAGACATGATAACCTCAGGAGCCTGGGGAGAAAGCAATTCAAGAGATGCGCATGTCAGTTACATAATTGATCTCCATGTGTTAACTGGAGAAGGTCACACTCCTAACAAAACTACAACAATAAAAACAACACACTATGATACTGCCCTAATCAAATGATACTGCAACCAATACAGACCCACATTCTTACACTGAGGTTTGCTGCTGCTGCTAAGTCACTTCACTCATCCAACTCTGTGTGACCCCATAAGTGGCAGCCCACCAGGCTCCCCCGTCCCTGGGATTCTCCAGGCAAGAACACTGGAGTGGGTTGCCATTTCCTTCTCCAATGCATGAAAGTGAAAAGTCAAAGTGAAGTCGCTCGTGTCCAACTCTTAGCGACCCCATGGATTGCAGCCTACCAGGCTCCTCCGTCCATGGAGGTTTACTGGCAAGTCTCAAAAACAATCAGTGGAGGAAAAGCAGCAGGTTGCATAAAGAAAATATTTCTATATAATAGTATGGACACATAAAATACAGAAAGAGCATTAAAATAATAAAAAAGAGTACACCCCAATCCCAAGACCAGGGTTACTTCTGGGGTGGGACTGTAGGAGAGTGAGAAGGGAGGGTTACAGAAGGCACACAAACTGCTTCCGAAATATTTCATTTCTTCTAAAAGAAGACCAAGGTGAACACGGTAAAATGTTAACTGTCAAATGTGGATTGTAGGCACACAAGTGTTTGCTACATTAGTCCTATTTCTGCCATTTAAAAACTCTAAAATAGCAGAAAATTATGCAAAACATAATAAAAACAGCCTTAAAAGCAAACAAAAAGTCTCTGATACTTTGTTACAGCTGTTTTCTCCCCTCTCATTAGATGTTGCTTTCAAAAACTACCATCAATCAAGGCAAGCATTGACTGAAAATGCTAAATACACTGAATGACAGTGACATTTTATTTTCTAGGTGTAACATTTTTATTTATTGTTCCTAGTAAATTTCTTACTGGTCAACTTCCTTTAATAAACAGCCCAAGTACTCTCTCTATCCTCAAGGCTGTAAGTTCAAGACTGAACTGATTTCACACTCAAGAAGTGCAAAGTAGTATTTAATTAGATTATAAGATTTATTATATAAGCAGTAAGGTTATGATCAAGTAAAAGTAAATCTAACACAAAATTTTTTTGAACTTTGAGTACTAGTTCCCTTGATCTCAAAGCTGATTTTATATTAGAAGTAACCCTAACTGAACATAAACCCATTTTAAATTCAAACTGAAGTAGGTTCATTTACTTCACAGGATTCTGAAGCTCCAGAATCAAAGTATTTCCAGGCTTACCACCTCACATTAGTTCAGAAGTGTCACAGCCTCACCCTATTAGACCTGACAGTAACCACAGGAGAGGATAAAGAAGAAAAGTTAAGATTTTACAGCTGTTACATGTGACACAAATGGGAAACATTTCTATAGTATAGGGATCCTGTCAAAAGACAACATGCAAAGGATGACTACATCCTATAGCTGAAGATATGCCCCAAAAGATTTTTTTCATTTATTTTTATTAGTTGGAGGCTAATTAATTTACAATATTGTAGTACCAAAAGATTTTTTTAAGTATTCCTGAAATTACACATCATGTATAGCATGACCATACTTCATCAATTTTTCTTTTTTTTTTCAATTTTTATTTCTAATTTAATCTAATAGAAGATCTCTACCATAATAACTAATCATGTTAAAAAAATAAATACCAACGGGCAAAGATGACTTTTATAGTCCACTAGGCTAAAGTGCAGAGAAGGCAATGGCACCCTACTCCAGTACTCTTGCCTGGAGAATCCCATGGACGGAGGAGCCTGGTAGGCTACAGTCCATGGGGTCGCGAAGAGTTAGACATGACTAAGTGACTTCACTTTCGCTTTTTACTTTCATGAATTGGAGAAGGAAATGGCAGCCCACTCCAGTCTTCTTGCCTGGAGAATCCCAGGATGGGGGAGCCTGGTGGGCTGCCATCTATGGGGTCACACAGAGTCGGCCACGACTGAAGCGACTTAGCAGCAGCAGCAGCAGGCTAAAGCGAAAGACATCTGTATTACAGCATTTCAGTAATATAATTAACATTTATAAATAATAAAAACTCAGACTATGATAAAAATCACATTTTAGTTGGAAACAAGCTTTATACTTAAATTCCAATGCTTCCTGCTGTAAACACAAAGGATGCAAACACTCACCATGTACATTGGGGACCCGCACAGCGTGGCAGCCATCATGTTACTATGCAAGTAACGAGCAAAACCAAAATCAGCTGTTTCACAAAATAAAAGGGAGAAAGTCAAATGATACCTTTGCTCACACATAACAGAGATCATATGATTCTTTAAGATACAAGCGGTCACAAAAGAACTATGAGAAACTAAAGCTTATTGACCTAGACTGTCCACCAAAGAAAGAAGTAGCCACCTCACTTTCAACTGTTAAATAATGGTAGTAGCCACCAATGGCACAAGTCACTGCTCTGCCAGTTTTGTAACCAAGAAGGGAGTTCCACGATTTGCAAGAGAAAATGCCAACAATAGTAAATGATTCATTAATAAAGCTCTCATTAAATACCACCACCAGGTATAGAGTTTGAGCTGTTTTCATCCTCCTCCAGATACCAGATGTAAGATTTCTTAAAATACTGGTAAAAAATTGTTTTTCCAAAAACCATGAGAACAGCTTTAAAAAAAAAATCTAGCATTATGAAGTGCTTCAAATAATCCTGAGAGTGCTGAAGTGTTAGTCGCTCAGTCATGTCCGACTCTTGGCGACCCCATAGACTGTATAGCCAGCCAGGCTCCTCTATCCATGGGATTCTCCAGGCAAGAATACAGGAGTGGGTAGCCATTTCCTTCACCAGGGGATCTTCCCCACCCAGGGATCGAACCCAGGTCTCCCACATTGCAGGTAGATTCTTTACCATCTGAGCCATGTCTTCTTTGAGTGGGCTAAAAAAAACCCAAAACACCTTCCAAACAAGAAGCCTGAACTAAATGGTCTCTCAGATCCCTTAGGTTAAAATCCTATGAGCTATGAACAATCAGGGTATTAATTTACTGCCAGCAATGCAGTGTGTTAGCTTCCCTCTGATGAAGAGAAGCATCTCCTGCTGAGATTCCTACTCGGAGCCCTGGTGCAGGCCCGTCAACCTTATCTGAAATTTAGCACCTGCTGTCAACAACGTAAAGGATCCCCACATCCAAATGGACTTCAGTGAACAGAACAAAAATCTTAAGTGTCTCAACAAAATTCATCATTCTCACTGAACTAAAATTACCTAAGAATACTGAGTCTCAAAAGTGTTCTTTGAGTGAAACAACATAGCCATATACCTATTTTGATGCGAATACCACTGACACTGGACTTCCTGCGACTGGCGTAGGACAGCAGGATGTTCTGGGGCTTGAGGTCCCTGTGGATGATGCCCTTGCTGTGCAGAATGCGCATGGCAGCTGCGATCTGATGCAGAAACACTCTGATGGTGTCCTCGCTGAGTGTGCCCTTAGCTGGGAGAAAAGGTGTTCCATAAACACTTAAGCCTACAAAATCAAGTCTCATCTGTGGGAGTAAGGAATGGGAATTCACTTTTTTTCATTGTTTTTACCCTAACAATTTAAGTCTATGAAGAGATATCAAATATCTCAAAAATTTTAATCAACCTGTTGTAAAGAGAACTGATTTATGTTCACATCTTCCATTCTCATCAGTGTCCCTTTATGGTTTTCTTTTCCCACTTTTACTAGGAAGAATGAGCATGACAACAGATGCTTAGCAAATGCGAGTCTCCTCCACAAGCCAAAAATAAATCCCCTTCACATCAAGTTCTTGGGATAAATGTCCATATTTAACCCCAAACACTACCTGAGTACAAATTAAAAACAGGTGATATGCTTGGCTGGTGTGACTAAGACAATGCCCCCAACTGGACCTGTCATGGGGCTGTGGCCCACACCTGTCTCCTTTTCATCTCCCAGGGGCATCTCTCCTAACTAAAGACACCTGTAAGAAAGCCACATCTTCACTGCTACCAAGAGGTGGTGGGAACATGACTGGAGAGTAGTCACTATCCAGCAAACAGCCATGCTTCCACATGCACACCAGAGCATGCAACAGTTCACAGAGCCTGGTGTGGGGTCAGGCTGCCTTTGTCCAAATCCCAGTTCCTGCACTTATTAATCCTCACTGCACAGCCCTGGAAGTTGACCCCTCTGTGCCAACTCCTCCTCTACAGAAAACTGAAAACAGACTAACCACATGGGGCTGTTGCAACACTCAAACAAGACAGCACATTTAATCACAAAGACTTAAGGAAAACGCCTGGCACGTAATAAGTACTCAAAGGTAAAGTGAAAAAAGTGTTAGTCATTCAGTTGGTCCAACTCTTTTGTGACCCCCCTGGATCGCAGCCCACCAGGCTCCTCTGTCCACGGAATTCTCCAGGCAAGAATACTGGAGTGGGTTCCCATTTTCTTCTCCAGAGAATCTTCCCGACCAGGGATCAAATCTGGGTCTCCTGCACTGCAGGCAGATTATTTACCATCTGAGCCACCAGGGAAACAAGGTAGTCAGTACACAAATATGTATTTTATTACAATGGATCTAAAAGTCAAAAGTCCAATTCCTTGAATCTACATTAGGTATTTAATATCCGTGACCCCATTTTGACTTCTTTGGCTCAGATGGTAAAGAATCTGCCTGCAATGCAGGAGACCCGGGTTCAATCCCTAGGTTGACCCCATTTTAGAGTCTCTGTGAACATACTTCTGACCATAGAACTCTAGAACATGTTCTTTATAACCTTCTCTTATGCGCTTAAGACTAAGAAAGACAGAAATAACACTAATACACTGAACAAGTGAAATATTACTTTTAAAATCATTTTAATGAGTGACATTTTATGTCCTTAATATCTTCAACAGTGGAAACAGTGACAGACTTTATTTTGGGGGGCTCCAAAATCACTGCAGATGGTGACTGCAGCCATGGAATTAAAAGATGCTTGCTCCTTGGAAGAAAAGTTATAACCAACCTAGACAGCATATTAAAAAGCAGAGACATTACTTTGCCAACAAAGGTCCACCTAGTCAAAGCTATGGTTTTTCCAGTAGTCATGTATGGATGTGAGAGTTGGACTATAAAGAAAGCTGAGCGCCAAAGAATTGATGCTTTTGAACTATGGTGTTGGAGAGGACTCTTGAGAGTCCCTTGGACTGCAAGGAGATCCAACTAGTTCATTCTAAAGGAAATCAGTCCTGAATATTCCTTGGAAGGACTGATGCTGAAGCTGAAACTCCAATACTTTGGCCACCTGATGCGAAGAACTGACTCATGTGAAAAACCCTGATGCTGGGAAAAACTGAAGGCGGGAGAAGGGGACGACAGAGGATGAGATGGTTGGATGGCATCACCAACTCAATGGACATGAGTTTGAGTAAACTCCAGGAGTTGGTGATGGACAGGGAGGTCTGGTGTGCTGCAGTCCATGGGGTCACAAAGAGCTGGACACAACTGAGCGACTGAACTGAACTGAGTATCTTCAAATCAACTAAATCCCCATGGTTTAAAAATTATCAAATACTTTTTTCTGAGAGCTATTTTCATCTGCTTTTAAAAATTCTTTGGAGTTCTTTTCCTCGTGCTATTAAAAAGAAAAATCCAAATGCACTATAACACACAGAAAGTGAAAGGTTCCCTGCTTCCCTCCCTGGAGATGAATGAACACTGTTAAACTCTGGAGTACGTTCTCCCGGTTCTCCCAGCTCTACTGATACTTTCCTGCAGATGGACGTGACGATGACGGCACATTAGTGGGAGGGTCAAATCAACAATTGGAGCTTTACTGCTGTAACATTTTAAATTACACTGAAGCAATGAAAATGGACGGAACCATTTTTTCCATCTCATTCACTTACATTTTAATTTTAGGGCTTAGAAAACTTTTGCCACTGTAAATGACTGCAGCTGCTTAGAACTTGTATCTGTGCCCCATGACACACAAAACTTTATCTGATTCAGAGACCAAATTCTAACACTGTTTCTGTGCAGAAAAATTAATCATCTCATTTAGGCTGTTTCTGGGCACAAACTACAGTAGAAATTCACGTATTTCTATGAACACGGAATGCCTACTCTCAACACAATCCCATAAACTGAAATTCTCTTGGTAAAAGCTTAACATTTTAAAGGCACAGCCAACATGAAAACTCTCAGACGGATGAACTCCTGAGCAGTTGGCCCTGACACGGCAGACTCAGCCATGGCTGCCAAACTGAACGTATCTGCTAGAAATAATGTTAAAGTACAACTTACCAATTACTTCAAAATTTCCCTTATTTTAACTTGCAGTCAATAGAATTTGTTTTTTATCTTTTGAAGATGTGAAAGGCACTTTATTTATCAAAGCAAATACAAGAACTAAATGGGTGTCTTGTGATTTAATGGCATTATGTGCTCCAGACCTCTGACTGACAGATCTTCTTGATCAGTGCATCCCAACAGAACTATAATGTGAGCCTTATACATACCTTAACATCTCCTAGTAGCCACATTTTCAAACATGAAAAGAAACTGGTGAAATAATATTTAACCTAGTACTTCCAAAATATCATTTCAACCTATAATCAACATTAAAAATCTTGATATAATCACTCTTTCTTTCAAAACGCAACGTGTGTTGCACTTCACAGCACACCTTTCAATAGCTCAACAGCCCTATGTGGTCAGTGGCTACTGTAGTGGACAGTACATCTCTAGACAATGCCTTGAGGACCTAAGTTATTCGACACGTCTCTTCAAGTGGTAGAGAGGGGAGAGGTTAAGTATGACCAGAATCACACAGCAATTAAGTGACATAACAAAGGAACTACCGCAAACCAGCCTGCCTGTCTGACTCCAACATTCAGGTAAGCTCTTCATTGATCTGGAATATCCAAAGCAGAGTTCAACATCATGTACAGACTGCTGAGGAAGCTAACAAATCTGCTACAGCAGCATCAGCATGTATGTCAGCCCAGAGGCTTTCTGTCAGAAAAGGACACTGATATTCCGACAAGGAAGTGAAATAGCTAAGTGTCCCTCAGCCTGACTCTGGAGAAAGGGGCTTTTACCTGGATGGATAAGAAGTCAAGGATCTCAAGATTCAGAGGTTAACAGAAGGTAAAAGCAAGGTGTCTTCTAGCTTCAACTCCTCTCCTCCAATAGAGAAAAAAGTGCCCATCTCTGAATTTTATCAACTAGCAAATGACTTTTTGAAAAATCTTTACCAAACTGACATAATTTGAGAGAATCTCAGGAAAAATACAAAAATTACACATGGACTAACCTCCCAAGTTCAGAATAATGGCGGTCTCTCAGTGGGAGGGACTGGAGTAGGACTACAGAAGGGCCCATAGGAGCTTCAGTTGTATTTAGAATTTCTTTAACTATGGGGAGCAGGAGAAATACTTGTGTTCTATATATTATTTCTGCATGGCTTTCGAAATCTCAGCAATATTTTATATTTTAAAGATTTTTAAATCTCATTTTTAATTGTTCCTTGTTTATCTTAACATTTAGAATACATTGCTTCTCTTCTGTAAACTGCCCACACCGTTTGTGAGTGTATCTACTGATGTCTTAGTGCTTTTACCATCAATTGCCATGACCTAGTTCTAGGCTGAGAGATGAACCTTTTACTACTTTTTTGTTTGTCTGTTTTGCCTATTTCCCTATATCTTCAAGGGTGAACAAGTAGGTGCTGACTTCATCTAATGTCCTTTAAAAAGTACTTTGGAGGGACACAATTTGATCTGAACACGAACACACTTTATATATGGAATTTCAAGCAACATCTAGTACTAAAACCTTACCTCTATGCCACAAAATAATGTCACGGTTACCCTGAATCCCTTACGACATCTTTTAAAATTTACAAGTAACATTCATGTTAATAAACACATCCTAGGATACATTCTCCCACTATTATTTTTTTTTTTTGAAGGAAATGAAAGAGACTAAAGGTTCACTGCCAGCCCCCAACTACAATCCTTTGAAGAGAAATTTTGTTGGTTTTTCTCTGATGGTGAGAGGCCTGACCTCTCAAACTGTCAGAGAAAGCCACACATAAACAAGTACTTATATACAAGTAAAGGAGTAAAACCACAACACACAACAGTCAGTTAGCAAAGCAACCATAATTAAACATACACAAATATTTATTGAATGTTTCTATACATGTATAGAAAACAAGGGTAGCATATTTCAGAAGTAAATGAAGATTAAACACACTATAGCACTATACTGACCACTGACAAAGTCAAAAAATTACCTTGCAAATAATCTGCCAGGTCTCCACCATTGCAATACTGATATACAAAACAAAAAGTAATTAAAATAAGACACTGATTCAAGATTAATTCAATTCATTATCAGCTAACTTTTTTTTTTTTTAACTTGGCTACACGGCATATAGTATCTTAGTTCCCTCACCAGGGATCGAACCCACATCCCCTGCATTGGAAGCTTGGAGTCTTAACCACTGGATCACCATGCAAGTCCTATCAGTTAATTTTAATTAAAAATACATTTGTAATAATATAAATCCAGTCCCCCAAAAATTATAATCATAGAATCAACATTTTAAAATTTTATATTCCTTATAAAATAGAACCTAAATCACTGAAACTTTATTAATTCAAATTTCAAATAACCTACTGTCAATTTTAAGGTATGTATTAATCAATAGAAAAAAATTAAAAAGAAACCTGGATACTACCTACCTCCATCACCAGAAACACAGAGTTGGGTAATTCCTGAAAAGTAAACATATTATACATTGTCTAGATTAGAGAAAAAATTAAGCAAAAATTTTAAAATAATGATTGTTAATAAAATAGTATATGTATTCATTTTAAAGAAGTAAAATGAAATCACAAAATCCATTAGTAACTGAAATTTAAAATCCCCTAAACACTGACATAAGCATCTCAGCTTCAATGACACTAATGGCTAATGTAGTCATCAAGAAGTTCAAGTCTATTCATAGAAAGAACTAAAGGAAGACCAACACTAAACGTGCAGTCTCAATTCTGGAACACATGGTCTGGGATGCTTCGTCCTACCGGCCCACAAACACCTCAAGGAAGCATGTACTTGCTGGGATTCTTAACTGTAATATAATACATTTCACCTTTTTGCTTAATTATCTTCACCTCTCCAGCTGGCCAATGTTTACATCTGGTATGTAATCCCATACCCTTCTCCTACTCATACAATGAGAAGCTAAACACACACACACAAACACACTTTACTTTGAAAAAATGGGATATCATATATAAATATCTGAATCTTGCTTTTCTCACTCAATAATATACCAAAGAAATCCATCTAAGTCAAATGCATACGCACAAGTCATCATATGACTGTATCACCATTTAAGCTGTTTCCTACCAAGGAACATCATTTGTTTCCAGTCTGGGCCATTATAAGCAAAGCTGTATTGTTTCTTGGACATACATCCTAGTTCTCAGGCTTTTATGGCCCTCAGATAGATGTCCAGGATTATGGGTTGTTTAGTCAAGGATGTGCAGCTCTAACAGTAGCAGATACTTCTCACTGACAGACTTTTTAACTCCCTACTATAAACAAGACACTGGTCCAGGCCCCGAGGGTATAGCAGTAAGACAGCAGAGTTCTGAATATCCTGTTCTCCCCAATCTTTAATTCTAAGAAGGGAGGGTCAGGAGCAAGTCAACAAACAAAAGAAATAAGTAGACAGAGCATGGTGAAGATAACAGGTGCTTTGGGGAAGGAGGAGAAACAGGGTTGGGGAGGGGACTGCAATTCCATTTAGGGTGGCTAAAGAAAGCTCCCTGAAAACATAACATTTGAGTAAAGACATAAGGAAGGTTGAGGTGTACCTGTGCAGAACACAGACACAGCGATCCATCTGCACATATAATCTCCCTGCAGGAAGGAGGTCCTCAGCACAAGGAAAAGGCGGAAGTGGCCAGGAACCACAGGAGGCCCAAGTAGACATAACAGAAGCAGCAACACGCAGAGAAGGGGAAACTGGGGATAGCGGGGTTTGTCTTTCACTCACAAAAACAGGAGCCCCTGCAGGACCCATGCAGAGAAAGAACACACCCTGACCTGCATTACCGGGAGTACCTGGGCTGCAATGCCCAGACTCTTCCTCAGGGTATGGAGGCAAAGTATCATTACACAGCACTCCAAAAATCAATCTAAAGACTGACATTTGTACCAGTGACACATCTCCTCCCCAATCACACTAGTAAGAATTACTGCACTTCCTACTTTTGCAAATAGGAAGGGTGAGAAGTGACATCTGTCACCTTGATTTACCTTTTTCTACTTGTTTATGAAAATTTCATCCATTTATGGCTGTCAGTATTATCTGACATAAGTTTTTAAAAATTTTTATGTCCCTACTTTTATGGCTTCTGAGTTTATCTTGATTTAAAACACCTCTCTAGGGACTTTCCTGGTAGTCCAGTGGTTGGCAGTCCTCCTGCCAATGAGATGGACACAGGTTTGATCTCTGGTCTGGGAGGAGCCCATGTGCTGCGGAGCGACTGAACCCTTGCACACAACTACTGAGCCTGTGCTCAGCAACAAGAGAAGCCACCACAGGGAGGCCTGTGCGCTGCAATGAAGGCTCAGCACAGCCAAAATCAAAAATAAATAAAATACCTTTCTAGCTCTTAGATTACATATAGTCATATAAATATTATTCTAAGATCATTACTGCTTATTTTATATATTTAAGCCTTTAAGTCATTGAAAATTATTTTGGAAAAATGATGAGGACAGATGTCTCAGTTTGCCAGCACCATGTACTGAATGAATCTCTTTTTCACCATACTAAAAATTACCAAGAGGTAGACGTTTCCAGACCATTGACATTCATGCAGGGAAGTATTCCCAGATGACAATACTTACCTCATGCCCAAAATACTCAAAGATATGTATCTTTCAAAAGCAGTCGTGATATCACCCTCCAAACGGCTTTGCACCGTCCTTGGACTAGAGATCCATCCCATGTGGGCCCTCCACCCTCCCTGCATCACCCAGCACTCCCTCCACCCCCAGCACTCCTGCCACATCCCTTCTTCCAGGTCCTCACTCTTGTCTTTCCTGTCGGCTCCTCAGAGGCTGCATCTGCGTTGGAAGCTGACATGCGACTTCCAGCCCAGCCTCCTCCCACTGTATTACATGATTATAGATTCATATATGCATTTAGAAAACTCTAAAACAAATATAACAAACAGTGATTATCTCTGCGAAGTGCCATATCTTTTCTAATTTATTCATTTTGATAATGTTGGAATATTTAAACTGTGAGTGAGTGAAAGTCGCTCAGTTGTGTCCGACTCTTGGCGACCCCATAGACTACACAGTCCATGGAATTCTCCAGGCCAGAATACTGGATCTTCCCAACCCAGGGATAGAACTCAGGTATTTAGATTCTTTACCAGCTGAGCCACCAGGGAAGCCCCATTCAAACTGTGGGCATATATTACTTTTGTAATTAGGGAAAATGTGTTTAAGTATCATCTAAAGTGAAACCTGAGCACTACAATGTCAAAAGTTTTCAGTTCATCACAGTGCACACAAGTCTGAGGTAGACCTCCACAAGTGGCGGCCAGTGTGAACAGTGCTCGTCTCCAGTGGATAAAATGACTGCACCCGCCTCTGCACCCCATACCCTGTACCCCTGATCAGAATCCAGCGAGCAAATCTAAACTCTGTCTACTCAACAGCCAAGCACTCAAGACTATATTCATCTGACTAAGAACTTCTGAAGTCTATTTTTATAAATTAATTCCAGGAATACACAATGCACAAAACAGTAAACATTTCATTTCTCAGCAGTCACCTTGATATTTCCAATTGTTCCACAGTTCTGGTTTCAGGAACATGTTCTCCCTAATGATATCTCATTCTGTAGCCAAAGTCAGTACTTTAAAATATTCTTCATTCCGACAGACAAAAATCTTAACTACACTCTCCACCCTGAAAGCAAAATTGACTCTGAAATTGACAGCGTTTTCTGTACCTAGAGTTAATATTACTTAATTTTTACGCAAGGCACTGACTTGTACCTCGTGGTGCCCTCTATCTACAGAGACTCAGACAACTACACAAACAGCTCTGAGGAGAACCAGCATTTCAATAGGGATTGTGACATCAGATTAGTTTTGACTTTAACCGTTTTTCCTTTCTTTCTAGGCTGCTTTGAATTTCTCAAATGAAGGAATCAATTATATCTATTTAAATAGGTAATAAAATATACCCACAGAGTATACATGTTCTGTATATGGAATTTGTTGTATTTTTGGAGATCACACACTGCCATCAAAAACTTCAAACCTGTTCATGCTGCTTGTTCCAGTAATTCCAATTCTAGAAACTGAACTCACAAGACATAATCAGATATCTTCAGAAGGTATGTATTATCCTTGGAGCATTTTTTTGTAATGGGAAAAACCTAAACATCTTATAACTTGGGTCCAGTTAAATAAATACTTTGTTGTATGATATGACTACATGAAAAATGACTCTGTTTTTTAAAGGACATATAGAACAGCCCACCAAAATTAAGCACACTGACAGCAAGGACTGTTTTACTCACAGCTTTGTTCCTAGCACTCAGAAACGCCTGGCAAACAGCACCTCACCTCATCAAACCTCACAAAATGACTGAATTTGAGTAATGCAAGTGTATAGAGAAATGGTTTTAGCTAGAAATATATATAGCAGAATCACATAACACGTTCATTTACTTCCTGGAATTCCACTGTCCAGACTAAGAAAACAAAAGAACAGAGTAATGTCCATCAAGCACCCTGGGTCGGCTGTGGAAGGAGTGGAGGGAAAAGCTGAATGCACTGCCCCTCAGGATCAGACCCCTGGAGTTCCTGCCAGGTGAATACCACTAGCAAGTGTGATTCTAGGATCCAAGGATTTTAAAACATAATATGGCCCCTAAATACAAGCCGACTACTTGCTTTGGTGCTCCACCCAATAAACAGGAATTTTCTCTAAACTTGGGCTTTTGAAAAGGATTTCCAAGGGTGATTTTGACTATACAGAAATATTGCTTAGAACGTAACTTCAGAATCCAGCCTTCCCAACCTCCAAATATAATGCGACTCTACTGTATGCCATGGCAATCAACATAAACAAATCCAGGTGATTAATCTGCAGAGTTTCCCTGTTATCATCCCATGAATTGTCTAATATCACCACTATTAGCAAACATTGCTTTTGCAATAAGAAAAAAAGCTATAGTTGATTTTTCAATAGCCCAAAATAGTCCTTTCTACATTCATCACAAAAATGCCAGATCTGGCATCAGTATTTCTCTACTTGACCTAAAACAACACTATTGTAGCATATTATCATTTGTCAGTAAGTTTACTTATGCAACACATTATTTATCTTTTTGCTCTATGCTGTTTTACACAAATTCTTAATTAATAAACACACAACTCAAGCTATACATCTTTTCAACAATAAGGCAAATTTTCTATTTCTATGATGACATTTGAATTTGTATGAAATAGAAAAAATTTCTATTAAGTTATTAACAACATACATATATTTCTTTGAAAATTAAAAATAAGGTACCTGAACATCATAGAGTGCTACAATGTTTTCATGCTGAAGTTCCTGTTAAGAAAATTGAGAATTCAAAATATTTGTATTTATTCTAAGAATTGTAATATTTCAATATGCAAATAAAATTAAGTATATACACACATTTATATCTATTTATACTACTTCTAGTATACCACACTTTTGTTACTAGTTATAACAATTCAATCTAACGAAGAATAACAAGAAAAGTGCCTGATCAAACTTTAGTTGGGACCTAAATATTTTTTCACTGTCCTAATTCATTCTCATTTACAAAATAAAGGTCAGAGTCAGTATGACCACATACTTTACTGCTAGTCTTTTAGATTTAATACAAAATTTCTAACAAGAAAGGCCTAAAATTCCAAACTGCTTTTAGAAAGCATGATTTGCCTAAAAGAAAACAAAGTATAATTCAACAAGCTGTAATTCTTACCCAAGAGCTGTCCACAGAATAGCAGTTCTGATGAATGTTAGATGAAGGTTCCATGTTTATATTACTTTTGGATTAAACACACCTAAACCTATTTCTTCACTGCATAATTTTTTCAAATTTCTTTATAATGAATCAAGTGCTTTGTGACTCTCCAAAAAGTATTTAGTAAACATGACTTTCCACATTTGTTTGACCATGGACTCCTTTCTCCCCCTCAAAGCATCCCACTTGGATAATTCTGCTTATGAGTGACCTAAAAAGACAACTTCCAAGGAAAATAACTTTGCTCAATTTATAAGCAAAATAGATTACAAATGCCCCTAGTTCTCCAAAAAATATTTAACTGTAACAAGAAAGGAATCAACAGAAGAGAGAAATAATGTGTAAGAGAGGCCTGTGTGTGGTGGTAGTCACTCAGTCGTATCCAACTCCATGCAACCCCATGGACTGTAGCCAGCCAGGCTTCTCTGTCCATGGGATTCTCCAGGCAAGAATACAGGAGTGGATTGCCATGATCTCCTCCAGGGGTTCTTCCCCACCCAGGAAGTGAACCTGGGTCTCCTGCACAGGAGGCAGATTCTTTACCATCTGAGCCACAAAAGAAGCCTCCAAGAGATGCCTGCCTCTTCTCGAAGGACAACTCAATAACCAAGGGAAAAGAATGATGAGAAGCTAAACTCAGTTTTCATCTAATCCCTCTAAGCACTGGCCAAGAGCCACAAACATCTAGTCTTAAAAACAGTTTGCAAGTACTCAATGTTTCAAAAAACTGAGCATGAAAAAATGAGAGCAACAGGTGAACATTTTCAAACTTGGGGTCAACTACCCAAACTGGAAAGGATGTCATCTTGTGTTCATTTAAGTTTTAATCTAGTATATCTAACATGAAATACCCCATAAAGAAACATACCTTTAAGATTTTAATTTCCTTCCCAAGCAGTATTTGTGATTTTGACAGGTTCTTTTTATTAATACTTTTAATAGCTACCTCCCAATCAGTTTTCTGGAAAGGAAAAACAATTACTTCTGAAAATTATTCCACAGAAACAACTGAAGAGAAACAAAGAAAAAAGAATCTATAAGCATAAAGATGTTTTTAGCAAATTCATGTAACAGCACTAGGAAAAACAGAACCCAAATTTCTAACAGGAAAATGATTTTACAAAGGTGTAGCAAGCTAATGTCCCACAAGACAGCCAGTAAAAATGAATATGAAGCCTCCGTAGTAACTAGCAATAAGTGAAAAAAAAAAAAAAGACACACTTTATTTACAACTACTTAAAAGTTATGGAGGATAAACTGGGAGATGGTTGAGTTAACGGAAAATAGGATTTGACAGCTAGGCAGAATTACACGTTTTCGCTTTTTTTTTTTCCTTAAGTTATTCAAACGATAAAGGAAAACTCGGTAGTATTGTATTTACTACTTTACAGGCTGAGCAACCAGGCCAGCCCCCTTCAGACCTGCCCCTTGGCCCAAACTCTCTTAGGATTATTTCCACTCTTGAGGTGCCTTTCCGAATTCTTTAGATTCTAAAACCTGCTGGGAGCCTGTTTTCCAAACAGCATAAACTTTAAAAGAAAAAAAAAAAAAAGCTGAGCCCGCTCTCGGGTCGATTTGGGTCTCCCCGCCTCACTCCCGGCCGTCCGCCCAGCCCAGCCCAGGAACGGAGGTGGGTGGGCGGTCAGGGCTCCGCGCGGGGAAACGCGACACCGAGTTGGGGGAGCCCGGGGCTCGCGGGCCACCTGCCCATTTTCCGCTAGGTCTGCAATTCTCTGCCACTGTGGAGGGTCCGAGCTCGACCGACCGGGCCTTCGTGCCGCCCCGGCCACAGCCTCACCGCCGCCGCGGCCCCGCCTCAGGCGGGGCTCACCTGGCGGTGCCGCCCCCGGAAGACCACGGCGAAGGCCCCGTGTCCCACGAGGTCCCGCTTGCTGTACTCGAAGTCGCCCACCACCTCCATGGCCGCGCCCCGGGGTCGGCGCGGGCGGGCGGTGATCAGCACCGCGGGCCCGCCGGCCCCGAGCGCGCCCGCCGGCCGCCGAGCTGGGGCAGCCGCGGCCCCGGGCCTGGGCGGGCGTTCATGCCGAGAGGCCGGGCAGAAACGGGGAAGCGCCGCACGGGGCCGGGGTCAGCGAGGCCTGGCCCGGCCCCTGCCGCTCCTCATGCCGGCCGCCGCCGGCCGCTGACTCCCTGACGAGGCGGGCTCCCTGAGGAAGCGGACTCGGCGCTGCCAAGCAGGGGCGGCGCCGTCGTCGTCACTGGGCGCTCCCGGGGCCGCGCGAAGGCCGGGGAGAGGTGCGGGCCCCGGCGCCCCCCATCCCCGCCCGTCTGCGCCTCGTTCTCTCCGAGGGTGCGGCTCCGCCCGGCCGCCGCCCTTCGCGGGCCTGGCCTTGTGCCCTCACCACCCTTTCCCGTTAAGAAGCCACACGCGAGCGCCAGCCGCTCCGCGCCGACTGCCGACCCTCCGCGACGTCAGCGCTTCTTGTAGGTCGCAGCGCGCGGCGCAGCGGACGCGCTACCTCCGCCGGGAAAATGAGTACCCAGCTGCCGTTGGAGGCGGGATGGAGCGCGCGAGCCGGCGGCGCCCAGGGCTGGACCCGCGGGGAGGCGGGCTTCCAGGAAGGGGCAGCAGGAGAGATAGGGGCATCCCTGTGCAGTGTGGACTCCGCGGATGCGATGAGGGCAAAGGAGAATCTCTTGTATCTAGGCATTTCCGCGCCGTGCGAAACCAGAGGCCTGGCCGCCAAGCCCCCACCCTTTTGCATTTACTGCTCAGGGCCCCTCATGAGTGTGTAGGTCAGGGATCCTGCATCTTCTGCGGTTGCTTTGCTTCTGTGAGGAACTGATGACAGCTCAGGGCCGTCTTCCTCGAAAAATAAATGCTGATGCTCGCAGACTCGGTTTTGCTTGTTTTCGAGGCTCTAGTGAGAAACTTTGCTTCCCAACCTCAGGTGTCCTGCAGCGTGGCCTCCGGCTTCCTTTGAATGGCCTAAAAGAGTTTTCTTTCCTACCAGCTCATTAACAGTTCAAGTGACAAGGAACTTACTGTCACCTTTCCCTCAGAGAGGTGTCTACTGAAATCATGTTTTAAACCACGTGCTTGAAAACGTCAGAAATCCCAGGTCCCATAATGGGCTGCATGTTCACTTGTTTAGCATATCTGCTCTCAAGTCATCTCTCACTTCCTGAACACTGATCTCTGAAGGCTGATCAAGGACCCTCAGGACATCCAACCTTGTGGCAGCCTGGGAAATCTCCAGAGAGGAACTGGTCCCTTCCTCTAACCCTTAAAATGTGAGGTCTTGGGTTTATGCTCCCAACTGTGCACACCTGCCTAATGCCCTCCCTTCGTTAGAGTCTGGCCCAGGTGAGTGTTGGAGCCTGTATAAGTCTGCAACCTTCAAAAATTAAGAGCAGGGATTTCCCTAGTGGTCCAGTGGTTGGGAATCCACCTACCCATGTGTGGGGAGAGTCAGATTTGATCCCTGGTCCAGGAAGATTCTATATGCCACACGGAAAGCTGGGCCCATGTGCTGCAACCACTGAAACCCATGCACCTAAAGCCCATGCTCTGCAACAAGAAAAGCCCCTACACCGCAACTAGAGAAATCCCTCGCACAGCAGCCAAGACCCAGTGAAGCCATACATAAAAAAATTTTTAAATGAGGATCAAATGAAGCAAATTTGCACATAAACACAAAAATACATTTGGAGATGATTCCTTACCTCTTTGAAAGAGTCCCTGTCTTCTTTTCTCTTTAAACATGAGTATTTAAATGAGTCAATGACCCAAAACCCATTGAGAAGTAGTTCTCCAGGATGTGTATATTATGGGTTGTAGGCCCCTGAACCAGCTACTTCAACTCACCTGCCTAGGTTTCCTCGTTTGTAAAAGGAAGCTATAACATCAAACATGTACCTTCACTGGGTGGTTAAGAGGATTAAAGGACTGATGCTGAAAGAGCCTGGAACAGTACGTGGCTCTGCAAAGCACCACTTGATGTGTGTGGACAGGGAATGTGAAGGACAGGGAAGCCTGGCATGCTACAGTCCATAGGATCACAAAGAGTAGGACACAACTAGCAACTGAACAACAAGAAGTATGTGTGGGGTAAGTAAAAGAAGTGAGATCAAACCTGGTCATAGGTGACACTTCCTCCCCCCAAGCCCTGTGCTGGAGTCACCCCCTTCCCTCCTCTGGCCATGCCCCAGGTGGTGCTCAGGTGAACAGAATCCAAGCTTGGCAGTTCTAGCTTTTATCCTTTTATCAATGGATCATTACACCTGTGTAAGAGCTGGTTCTCTAACAGCCCCCTGGAGAATTCACTTCCTATAAACTTTCTGTGCAAAAGCAGTGGGTGTAAAATTTTTGGACATCAGGGAAGTCACGAGGAGAACTAACACCCCAGGACTAAGGCTGGCAGCCTTTCCCATGAAGTACCTGGCCATGGCCAACATCCCAGGGAGCAGAGCAGGAGCTGTCCAGGTTGTCCTGAGGCACCGAAGCTGCTAGTTTCGGGGTCTGTCCGCCGAGGTATCTTTTTTTTTTTTCCACCGAGGTGTCTTGTGGGGCCCTCAGTACCCTCCAGGAGCAGTGCTTCAACCTTCCTGCTAGTCACCTCACCATCCAGATGAGGACAGGTGTATCCTCTGCCAGCTGAGCCCGTGCACGAGACAGAATTCATAACACGGCCCTGTTCACAAGGTTGCATCCCCTAGGAATCGAAGGTAATTGAAGCTAATAACTAATACACAACTTCGAGCTGTTTATTTTTTAATGTCATTAAAATTACATCCCCGCAGTAGGACATTATAGAGCTGTCCTAAGCCACCAGGGGCCCTAAATTTAGACCTGCATCCCCTCCTGTACCCATAGGCTAAGCACAGGCCCTGGGAACACATCGTTGCTTTAAAAAATATGCAGCTTTTACAGAAGGATTTCTGACCTTGAGGCTCACTCCTGAGGGGAAGTGGTGGTGGGGAGCACTGGGGTGGGGGACCTTTGCTAAGGGGATGTCTAGTTAGGACTACGTCAGTAAGCACATACGCCAAATGAGATAAAGCAAGCACACACACACACGCAAAAGAGGAATGAAGATAAAGACACAGGTGTGGTTCTCGGGTTCCCAGTGGATTAGGGACTGGAAGAGGTGTCTGCTTCTTTGTTCTTTCCACATCAAGGCAGGAGGATGGAGAACTGGAAGCCACCGGTCTCAAACCCAAGTTCTTAAGGAAGGGATTCTGATGGCCCCACTCAGGAGAGGTGCACTGAGCAATCATCTCAAGATAGGGTCTAGGGTTGAGGGAGGCAGGTCGAGTTGTGCAAGCCTGCTGGAGCCAGCAGAAGAGTGCAGATCCCAAGACTTACCCCAAAAGCAGGGGCGAGTGGGCAACCCAGGAAGGGTGACCAGGAATCAGATTTAGGCTTTATTCAGGAATGCCCGCAAGGAAGATTTTGACTTTACTTCTGAAATCACTCAAAGTTGCCAATCTGATTCACTGTCATTGTTTTTTGTCCTATTAACCGTGAGTGTGTGTGTGTGTGTGTGTGTGTGTGTGTGTGTGTGTAAACATGCCTGTTGACACTATTGAAATGTTTCACTTTGTATACTGTGTAATAATAACTGCAGCAAGAGGTAAGATCACTTGCTAATATAAATTCTCACATAAACTGAGCTTCTCAGGCAAACACTGTATGATGTTGTGATGGTGAAAGTGTTCCTGGGACAAGTAAGTGTGACAAGCATTCACGACCCCATCTCTTGGCAGGGAGGCATCCTGAGATTAGGAGAATCACTCGTTTATTATTATCTTCAAATCACATCATGGCTGTTTGCTTTTATTTTGGTTCCATTGTCTCTACTTCGATCCTATAGCTGATGCTTAGAAATTCTTGGGACTGCTAATGCACTGAGCTATGATGTTTATACATGTACAGTTTTATAGAAAAATATGGAGATAAGCACATAAAGTGAAGAGACCACAAACTTTGGATGTATTTCTTAAAGCTTTCAGGAAATATCATAACTACAAATCTTCTGAAATGACATCAAAAATAGACTCCAGTCAGGAATTTTCTTATACTGTGATAGCAGGGCAACAGAAAGGAGCATCTTTCTATGTTATGCATGAATCAGTATTTCTAGGACTTCCCTGGTGGTACAGTGGATAAGAATCTGCCTGCCAATGCAGGGGACACATGTTCAATCCCTGGTCCGGGAAGATTCCACATGCCAAGGGGCAACTGAGCCGATGTGCCACAATTACTGAAACCTGCACGTGCCCATGCACTGCAACAAGAGAAGCCACTGCAATGAGAAGCCAGCATACCGCTATGAAGAGTAGTCCCTATTGCCACAACTAGAGAAAGACCACGCTCAGGAGACTGAGTACAGCCAACAATAAAACAAAGTAAATAATTTTAAAATTTCATTTCTAAAATGAAAAACAATTTGATTATTTCAGCCCAAAATAGAGTAGCTTATTTTCACTATTGCCATAACTGTTAGACCCAAAGAGCGCTTAAAACTTGAACCATTAAAAGTTAAAATGCTAAGCATATATGTCACAGGAATGGCCATAATGTCCTGTTAATGGTTATGGCTGAAATAAAAATGAAGAATATTTTCAGGGAATGCCTTGGCAGTCCAATGGTTAGGACTCAGTGCTTTCACTGCTGAGGGTGCAGGTTCAATCCTTGGTTAGGGAACTAAGATTCTACAAGTTGTGTGGCATGACCATAAGAAAATAAAAAGGTTTTTTTTAATTAAAAAAACATTTAAGAATATATTTATATATTACAAGGATAAATTTCAGGGAATATCACGAGTCCATTGCCAAATAAAACATCTGAAGTATTAAAACTCCTAAGGGAAATATCTGATTGATGTGATGATATAGAAAATGAAAATATTTTAATTTTAAAACAATTTTATTCAAAAACTTAAACAGAATCTATTGGGTGGTTTTAAAAGAATAGTACATCTTCGACCATGATGGATTTACTAAAACTTTAGACAAGAAGAAGATCAATATCAGTGTGTCATTACAGCCTATTTTTTTGCTCCCTGTTGTAAATTACATGCCTACTGAAATGAGAAAACAGCTGACCCCACTGGGTTCTCCAGAAACAGACTCTGATCTGGGGTTGGGATGGAGACGCTCATTAGGGATGCACATCAGTGACAGGAGGGGCAGGAACAGACAGGACACCAATAACCAGCGACCAGCATCACAGTGATGCTGGCTTGACCATGCCTGGGCCACCCCAGCTGAACGCTCTGGAGTTGAGCCCAAATGCCCAGTTCACTCATCACCTTCTGGGGCTGCCCTGGAGGGCATGGCCCTGGGCAGCTGGGCTGCTCCAGCTGAGGCCTTGGACCAGCAGGGGAGAGATGGGGGCCAACTATCCTTCCCCAGCAGGGCAGGTCCTTCCTCCCAGAGGAGTCTGGGCATCGTGTCTCAGGTGACCATAGGTTACAACTTCGGAACACTTGTGAGTCAGGCTGTAAGACCTCCACCATTAACAACAACAAAGTCTATTGTTGCACAGACAAGCATTTTTGTTTTGCTTGTTCTGTTTTTAAAGAAAAGCACAGTTTTTCTTGGAAATGTTCAGAGCCCGCTGCTGTGCTCCCATTCTTCCATCAGTCTGTCCACACACCCCTAGCTGCTGGGGTGGACCTCGGGCAGGCTTCCCTACTGAGCTTCCAGAGGTTGATTGCAGAGCTACTCCCAGGTCCAGCCACAGATTAAGCAATAAGATACTATTTACTAAGTCCTTCAGCCTCATCCCTGAACTTGGGCGGGATGAAGAGTTCAGAGAGGGTTGGAGGAGACAGAAAACAAACCCAGGTCCCCTGAGCCCACCACGTGGCCAAGATCTCCTGAGGGAACCCAGGGCTGGAGGCCAAACCGCGAGAGGGGCGTGTTCCTGGAAGGTTCCCTGTTCTGGGCAGGGTGAGAGCTGTGCTGTGTGTGTATTTATGGGAGCAGGGCTGGGCTCTGGGGGGCCCACTGCTACTTTGGTTCATTCACATCTTCAAGGAGTCTTTCTTCCCTCTGCAGGCTCATCTTGCTGGAGTTTGGTTCCCCAGCGCTGAGTACTGGTCCTCTCCTGGACCACTCCCCTCAGGAACGCACCTGCCCGCTGTCAATCATGGTTAGCTCCTCCTTCGACAGCGCTCACGCCATCTGTCCCCCACCGCACAGACGGCACACAAGGGGCCTCCTCACTCAGTAACTTAAGGCCCTACTCAAGGCCAGGCCCTTCCTCCCATGGACGGAGCCAGACAGGGATGGGGAAAGGGTGGGGGCGGGGTGACCAGGCCAAAGGCCTGCAATCCTCAAAAAAAACTCCTTCAAAGGAGTCTCAGACAGCCAGCCAAAGGCCCAAAACATTTCCAGCCACCTCATTTGTCTCTCTGGACAATGGGCCGGCCATCCTCCACCATCTCCTCTTCCTTAACAGTCCAGGAGTGTGGCTCTGAGTTTGGGTTCAGGCTGGGTACAGCCCACATCTGAAGTGGTGACTCTGTTTCCAGCTTCAACCTCATCAAGCCAAAAAAATAAATAAATAAAAAAAAGAAAAAAGGATGAAAATTGTTCCAAAAGCCAGTTGCTGTCTTGCAGAGTGTAGTGATTCCAAACAAGAACCTTTTTTTTTCTTTTAATTATTGAGGGTCTTGTGGGTCAGGGATTAGCACGGGCCCATCAGGAAAATCTCACCCTGCCACTTGTGGTATCGGTATCACCCGGTTGGAGGACCTGGAACAGCCTGACTGCAAAGGAGGTCTGGTAAGTCTCTTGGGTCCCGGCTTGACCGGTAGGGCAAGGCTGGTTTCACTCAGAGCCCGTCTCGTACCCCATCCCATCACTGCCCCCAAAAAAGTGACCCTTTCCCAGTATTGGGTATTGAGTTCTGTCTGGTTTACATCCAGCTTCTCTCCTTGGCATTATGTCTGTATGTGGGCACCGTTCTGTTTGTCATCTGCAGTCATCTCTCCTTCTGGCCTCTTCTCAGGGTCTGCCATGTGAAGAAACCTCGAGTTACCGACCCATTCCGCTCTCGACAGACACCCAGGGCTGTCTGGTGTCCGTGAACTTTGGTGACCGTATGTGTTTGTTTCTGTTTGGTTCACACCCAGCAGTGGGGTCGCTGAGCCGCAGGACACATCTCAACACCGACCAATACTAACAAATGAACTCCGGGCTGGTCACACCTTCCCCTGGCAGAGTATGAGTTTGCTGCTCAGCATTCTCACTCACACTCAGTGGTGTCAGCCTTTCTATCCATTTGGCAAGTGTGACAGGCTGGTCTTACCCTCCTCCTCCCAGCAGTTCATTCTCTGGCCCAGGGACACCCCTGGGGCTAGTATCACTGGCGGTGGACCTGCTGCCTCACCTCTGCAGCTTCAAGGAGCAGGCCTGAGCGATCGCGGCTTCCTGGCAGTGGGTTGGACAGCTGGTGATGTGAAAATCAGTAAAAGTCAACTGGGGGATGTGAGTGGTGGCTGTGTCTTCTTCGTTCCCTCATCGGCTGTGGTAGCCCCAGCCCCTGAGTCAGGGGACCTGGCTCACCATCGTCACCCACCATGAACCAGACGTGCTGAGGACCAGTCATTTACCCAACCCACTGCCCCTTCACACCGCTGTCATAACTCTTCTTCGGCATGACTGTTCTCCACCAAAAGGCCCAGCTCAAATGCCCCCTCCAGCAATGCACCCGGGATTCTCCAGGCCCTTCTGGGTCTCCTCCACGTCTCCCATCCAGGCCTTTACATCTGTTGTTCGCTCCCCCTGGAGCCCTCTTCCTTCATCATGGTCCCTCACCGCCTTCTAGCCGTTCGACCCGTTTGTCTCCTCCATCTGGAATGTAAAGATGTAGTGTTCAAGCCCCCAGGCCTGGAAGATGGCCTGACACACAGCAAAGACTCTGTTTGACTGGCTACATCCCGTCCCCCGATGTACCCATCCTGGGCTGGCTGGGCTCCACACAGCCAGGCGACCTGTGCAGAGCAGAGCCAGGGAGGAGAGCAGCTCCTCATGTCTGCATGGAGTCGGGTGAGGCCGCGGTGGGGTCTCAAGTGAATTAAAAAGGTGAGTACACGTGAGGAAGGAGGGCTTCCCAGGTCCAGCAACCGTGACTAACCTGGAGAGGCCGGTACACGGAGTGGGCAGAGGACGAAGGAGATGGAGCCAGGAGATGAAAGAGACACCAAGAAGGGCTTCATTCAACAAACCTTTGTTTAACACCTGAGTGGGGGGATGGGGATGGGGGCTGTCAGGGGACAGGGCAGGAGGTGAAGCAGGGGAAAGGGCTGAGATCTACAGAGGAGGGTGGGCTTGGGGCAGCAAAACAGACCAGGAGATGAAGCCAGCGGGTGTTAGGAAACCCCCCTGATTTTCTTGTTTCTAATATTATCTTTACTTACAATAAACACGAGAGCGAATTATTGCAGAAGAGACGTTCAGTCTTGGCAGAAATACTTGTAGTTTCTTGCTTGATCTGTTTACGAGTTTTAGAAAGTGAGAGGGATATTGGTAATATGTATTTTAAGCCATTTTAAAGTTTGTGTGTTTACTTATGTAGTTTTTCTTTTTTTATTAAAAAAAAGTATAAATGGTATTGTACTATACATGCCCAGAGCCAGCTTTCATATTCTTTTTAAAATTTAAAAAACATTTATTTAGTTGGCAGTGCTGGGTCTTAATTGCAGCATGCAGTACCTAGTTCTCCAACCAAGGACTGAATCCAGACCCCCTGCATAGGGAGCGTGGAATCTCACCCACCGGACCACCAGGGAAGTACCTGTTTGCTTTCTTTTATTTGTGACCACCGCCCCCCCCCCCCCCCCCGCCCATGAGACTTATTTCAACAATCTATTACAGATTTTCCCCACACAAAGACAGTTATATACAAATATATGTAAACTGCTCCTTATAAACAAGTATGTGGAAAACATCCTTCCCGTATGTCAGTTTGACAAACAGGGCATCATATGATACCCTTTTTTGAATTTTGCTCTTCTCAGGTATTACCTGATGGGATTCCTTTAAGTTACTTGGTGCAAAACTAATTTACCCTTTTTCAAGGCTGCATAACATTCCATGGTGTGGATGCATCAGAACGTATTCAGGCATTCTCTGTGATTGGACATTCATTGTATCCTGATGTGTGTGTGTGTTGGCCACTATGAACACTGCTGTATTACATTAATTCTTTATGTATTAGTGCTTTTATTTCTTGGACTAGATTCTCAGGAGTGGGATTGCTTGGTCTAAGTGTATGGATTTTTAAATGTAGTGCCTCCCCTTGGGGAGCTCATTCTCAGTGAGGGAAGCAGACCATGCATAGGAGAAATAACATAGCTGGGAGTTTCACTAGCAACAGGTACCAAAGTGAAGTGAAAGTGAAAGTTGCTTAATTATGTTCAACTTTTTGTGACCCCATGGATTATACAGTCCCTGGAATTCTCCAGGAGAGAATACTGGAGTGCGTAGCCGTTCCCTTCTCCAGGGGATCTTTCCAACCGAGGAATCAAACCAGGGTCTCCTGAATTGCAGGCGGACTCTTTACCAACTGAGCTATCAGAGAAGCCCAACAGGTACCAATAAGAAAACTAAACCTGGGAGGGAGATAGGAAGCATGGGGGAAGGGGCCCAATTTAAGAAAAAGTGACCCGGAATGACTTCACTGAGGTGACATCGGAGTCAAGACTTGAAGGAAGTGAGGCTGTGATCCATGCAGAGGAGGGGAATTCCAGGTGCAGAAGCCCTGAGGCAGAAGAGTGCCTGTAGCCCTGCCTGACTGGGACTGAGTGGATCAGGGGGTGGTGATTGGAGATGATGTCACAGAGAAAACAGGCCAGAGGTTGTAGACTCTCAGAGGTCATTGGAAGGATTTTGACTTTCCCTTGGGTCAGATGAGAAGCCTTTGTAAGGTTCTTAAAGAAAGAACATCATGGCAGTAAAACTGAACAGGAAGTAGTTCTCACCACTGGAAGAAATGATGATGGGGACTTCCCTGGTGGTCCAGTGGCTAAGACTCTGTGCTCTCAATGCAGGGGTCCTGAGTTCCATCCCTGGTCAGGGAACTAGACCTAGTATGCCACAACTAAGAGTCCACATGCCACAACTAAAGATATCAAGTGCTGTAACTAAGACCCAGTGAAGCCACATAAATAAATAAAAATAAATACATTTTTTAAAAGGAAGAAATGATAATGATTATGTGATGCAACGGAGATGTTAGTCAATGCTATGGTGGCCAGCATGTTGCAGTAGAAATGGATCACATCGACATGGCTGGCCCCTTGAACTCACACAAGGACAGTGTCAACTCTATCTCAATGAAAGAAGTGGGCAGAAAGCAGAGTGCTTTCCCACACGCCCCCGCCCCAACACAATCTCAGCATCCTCTCCCCCAGCAACATCCCCACTGGATGGTACGTGTGTTACAACTGATGAACCTGCATGGAGACTTCCTCACCATGCAGAGTCACTGTTTACATGAGAGTCACTCCTGCTGTTGTGCATTCTATGGATCTGGAAAAACATCAAAGTGGAGAGAAGTTTCTCTCTCTCCTTATCTTCTGAGAGTTTTTTCTTTTTTTAATTGAAGTATAGTTGATGTACAATATTATATAAGTTATAACTGTACCATGTGATGATTCACAATTTTTAAAGCGTATCCTCCATTTATAGTTACTATAAAATATTGGCTCTATTCGCTGTTCTGTACAGTGGGCCCTTTTTAGCTTATTTTGCTAACAGTTTATCATGAAGTAGAGTTGGGTTGTGTCAAATGCTCTTTCCGCTTTGCTTTTTGACAGTAGAACTTTTCCTCAGAAATCAATAAGTGGGTCTCTCTGGTGTGGATTTGTGTGTCACGGCTGTGGGAACTTGATTAACATGAACTGTCCCTGAATCTGATGCCTTGACCCTGGAGGGGGCTGGATCATGAGACCAAGTTCAGTGTCCTCCCTGGGGGAGCACAGCAAGGTCAACAGCTCCCCCAGCCCCTGCCTGCTAACACCCCCCCACCCACTGTGCTGGGCTGACTTCGCCTGTGTCTTGGGCTTTCCATCAGGTTTTGCTGACCTCTACACTTCTGCTCTGAGAGCCCATGTAGTCTTGGTTCTTGCAGCCCTTGGTTCTGCTTCTTGCTTCCTTTCAGGAAGGCCCCCAGCCTCCCCGGGCTTCCTTCTCTGAGAGGCTGATCCACCAGCCGTGCTGCTGACCTCAGACAGACCGCAGGCTGGGCCCCCAGAGGCAGAGGAGGTGGCTTGGGGCCCTGTGGTCAGGACAGGACGTTCACTTCCTCTCGTGCTGGTTGAAGACCTTGGCTCAGCAGTTCTCCCCATGGTGGGGAGAGGAGGAGGAAGGCTTGTTTCCCAGGGCTGGCTCCACTGTAAACAAACCCTTGTGATTAGAGTCGCCTCGAAGGAGGAATCAGGCCTGCATACAAAGTGCTGGGTCTGCACTGTGAGGGCGGCCTTGGGAAGGAGAGGATTAGAGCAGGTCTGTTCTCATAATAAAGCAAAGAAACCCAACGCTCCACGCTTCTCTTCATCACCCAAACCTTCCGATTGCACTGCCAGCCATTTCCCAAGCCAGTGAATGCTCTCTGCCACCACCTGGTGCTGAAGAACCATTATCTCCATTTCTACAGAAGACACAGAGGTCCAGGGAGGTGAGGCAAAGGCTGACGACCCACAGCAAGGGTGCAGCACCAAGTGGAATGGAACCTCTGTGTGTCAGTCGCTCAGTTATGTCTGACTCTTTGCAACCCCATGGACTGTAGCCCGCCAGGCTTCTCTGACCATGGGATTCTCCAGGCAAGAATACCAGAGTGGGCTGCCATTCCCTTCTCCAGGGGATCTTCTTGACCCAGTTCTCCCTTTCATGCAAACAGCACAGTGCAAGTAAGCTCTGACCTCCTGTGCGTGGCTTCCCGTACTGGCCTGCGGGTGGACCAATGGGGCAGCTCTCAGACTTTCTCATCTAACAACCCTTGATAGCCTATCAGTGGGTCTCACTTTGAACCAGTCTTTCACCTACTTGTGGTTTGGTGAATCACATGTCGGTCATTTGGACAATATTGAATGGTTCATTGGATTATGCAGATCTTCCAAATATGACAAATTTCATCATACAATATTTTTTGAATCACATTTATAAATTAGAGCTCATCAGAAATGTCTTTCGGGATGGCAAGCTTTCAAGGCCACCATGGTGAGTATTAGTTTTCCAAAATACCAGTTTTTGCTTTAAGTCAAATTTCCTCCTGGGCAATAAATACTGACAGTGTTTTCTTCTCAAAGGGACAGACAGGCTCACTTCCTTCATTTTCATGAAAGAAAATATCTTTGTAAGACCCAAGCCTGAGTAGCCAGTTTGTCAGGTGTGCCTTCGTAGGCGTCCACATGATGGCCAGGGCCAGAGCCTCTCCCGAGCCAAGCTGCCCCTCGATGTACAGAGGGCTTCCTGGGTCCTCCCATGATGTCCCACATGACATTAAAAACATGCACTTCAGGGTCGAGATTTAATAAAATTAATAATTGTTACTTCTTCAGAACTTTCCTGGGGGTCCAATG